AAATAACGTAGGAGTGAATAATTAATAAATACAACCATATATTATCCAAAGATAAAATAAGTCGACAACGCAACATATTCTATGGCTGAGGCCTATCTTTATCTTCCTCTACCATAAAGATTAAAAATTATTTATGCATTATTTGTTTTTTACTTGTTTTTCTTAAGTAATGTTTTAATTTTACACTCTTTGAATTTATAACTAGAAATATATAATTCTATATCCTAGTATATTTAAACAATAAATCAACTTCTAATCAAAATTTTCTTAACAAGATAACATACGTTTATTATATAAGGTATCCCAATCTACCTGGCTAAATTAGGTCTAGCCGGGAAGAATAAGAGCGGAAAATTCTTGCACAACCCGAACTCAATTACTAGACGTCGGTCTATTGCAGAGATCTTGAAAATTCTAAATCTGTTAGCGAATCACTGGATTTTGCAAGCCGTTGCAGAATTCTTTGATGATATCTGTTGCGAATGGATTTAGTGCAATCTTTGTTATCTGTATCTACGTCACCATACATTTTGTTGAATATTTTTCTGACAAAAGAGAAAAGCCTATTTTTAACACGACTATCTGATCCAGCAAAGGTTGTAGTGTTTGTTAGTAACATTAATATTATAATGTTGATACAAGTCTACAGAACAATTGGTAATAAGGCATTAATCTCGATCAAATTTGGTTACAATAAAAACGGTTCTTGCGAATTTTTCAATTCAAAACCTGTAGTCCAAAAATCAGCGCGTTTAAACAAACACATTCCTGATTTATTTAAATAAGACACTTTAACGGTTTTAAACGCGATATATTTTAGTTAAACTTGTATGACAATTATTTTTAACGACAACCCGACGTTTCGGATGCTTTGCAGCAGTCGTGGTCACGGGGATAATTTTCAAATAAGTATCGCGTTTTAAACCGTTAAAGTGTTTTATTTAAATGTGTAATAAAGACAGAAAAAGAAGAAGTATGTAAACAAACTTCTGCATTACGATATTAGTATAGATGCGCTGTATATGATTTTCAAAACGTATGAAGAAGGGGCACGATATAACAGAAATGTGTATTTTGTAACTTATTGTTCGTTTTTAGTTGGTGTTTATGATGTTTAGATTTTTACGAATGCCGCAAGCGACGGATCGACCCTACGGTTCGTCAATAATTATAAGTTACACAATGTGAATCCAGACGAGGCAATTATAATGCCCGTTTCAGACAAAGTAGTTAGTGGGAATAGGTTATTTTGGTGAGTTAATAGAGAATTAGTTTTAGCCTCCGATGAGGAAGCAGAGAGTATCGCGCTAGCAGCCTGTTGTAATTAACTGCGTTTAATTTAGCCGATGAAGTCGGTAATGGTGCAGCTATTTCATTTCAGCAATTCGCGAAGCTATTTTCTCTAAACAGTTTTGCTTGAAATCTCGACTGTTGGAATTATAGAAGTTTTGTTTTAACAAAGCGCTATAAAAATCAATCAACAGCTTTAATAAAACAGCATTGATTGTGACTATTGATTTTTTATTCTTTTGTACGAAGCCTTAATTAATTTAAATAAAACACTTTAACGGTTTAAAACGCGATAATTTAGTTAAACTTATTTGAAAATGATTTTTAACTTCGGCCCGACGTTTCGGATGCTTTGCAGCAGCCGTGGAGACGGGGAGAAAATCTTTTTCAAATAAGTTTAACTATTATATCGCGTTTTAAACCGTTAAAGTGTTTTATTTAAATGTGTACTACTCGCGTAAATTTATACACAGTATCCTTAATTAAGTTTTTGTAAGATTTTCATCGGTTTCCTAATAAATATAAACATTTTTTTGGCATTAAAAAGTAGCCTATGTCTTTTCTCAGGCTCTAAAATATCTGTGTACCAAATTAAATTTAAATGAGTTCAGTAGTTTCGGATTTAAAGCCAAACAGACAGACAAACCGAGTTACTTTCGAATTTATAATATTAGTATAGATTAATAAGCTTTTAATATTTTAACGTAACCTTCGTCAGCACGTGTAACGTATATGTTAGACACGAATTGATGAGTGTAACCTTGAACCAAAAACATTGAACGAATTTCTTATTTCGCGTAGGAAAGATCTCCCGGAAAGTGTTGACTCAACATACGTTTATAGAGATCTGAATTTTTTAATATTACGTACGATGAGCGAATTATTAGTCTACACTCTACCTAATAGGTTGTGTCTCGACCTGTGTCCCACAGCTGGGCACATGCTCACCCAGGATTCAAAGTCACGATTAGTCCAGTGTATTAAAGAACTAAGGCACTTGTGTGCATAGAAAATTCGTCGGGCCGCAATTCAAAATATTTTTTAACAAGTTTAACTAATATACTTCGAGTTTGAAATCGTTAATGTGTTTTACTTACATACTATACTATATACCTTTTCATTAAAACAGTTATAACGGTTTAAAAAGCGAAGTAAATTAGTTTACTTATTTTGAAACGTCGGGCCGTAGGTAGAAAAATATTGTAAACAATGTAACTAATAATAAAAGTATTTTATTTAAATGTGTACTACTCGCGTGAGCTACTGACAATAATAAACCCGGTTAGACGAAGTTCTCAACACTTCACTAGTACGGCAATAGAAGTGCGATGTGAAAAGGAAATGATAAAACGCTCAATTGCAATACAGATGTTAGAATCCAATAAGTATGACGTCAATGCACCGAAATAGTTTACATGTGCAGGTGCCGAGTGGCCCTGGGAATGCCTAACAGAGCACACGGATCAGATCTATAGAGCTGTGTACTAAGGGCGGCTTCTGTTCGAATCGACAGTTATTAAATCTTTTAGCTTATGACCTAAGATGGGAATGACATAGACATTAGGGTACGAGCATCTTTAAGTTGTTACGGAGGTTCGATTTCCGGTATTTAAGATATTTCAGTGCTTATTTAATTTAATATTTTCTTGAGTCATAGTGGTCTGTCTACCTGTAGAATTAACAAAATTAAGTAATAATACGTGTATCGAAAGCTCCACTTTAAAATAATGTTTGTCATATAATCCATTTTTTAATGATACCATCGCTATAATTATAATTTTTACCTATTAATTCGAAGCAAGTAGTCGATCAGACTTCTTTGTTCTACACAGCCATAATAATTTATTATTTTCCGCGTTTGAACCCAGAACATTTTTTGCTTATCCAGTTATTGCGGTTTAAAACAAAAATGGAGTTATTCAACTTTTACGCTTCAAATTAACCTACGTTTTGAACCGTTAAAAGTGTTTTATTTAAAAGATACAACTTCGATTACGAAGGACATACATATATACAAACATACTTTTGCATTATTAGTACGGCTTTACCCAAGTATAGTTAATACAAATATAATAGCAGTATGTTATGTAAGACGTTTTTTCTTAATAGAAAACCGCGGCTGTGTAAGGAAAAATTATAGTTGAGTAACAATTCAATGCGTATTATGTCCGTTTACATTGGCGAATGTACATGAAATCAGGTAAATTCAACTTAAAATATCTTTATGACATACAAATGAATGCCTAAGTGTGAAAAACACCGATTGAGCACGATATTTTTTTAAATTATCGTTAGTTTAGCAGGTTGTGACAGAAGCCTCAAAATCTTTAAAAAATCAAAGACGTTAAAATCTTGTAAATAAATATTAAGTCAACATTAATAATAAAAACCACTAAGTAAAAAATAAATAATGCACACACCTACACAATTTGTATCTACGTATAGTAAAAAATAATTTAAAAATTCCACAATTCAGAATTGGAGTGTTTAAAATACTTCAAACCGTAAGATAAAAATATAATTCGGCTTAGTTATTAAATTAATTAAAACCCAAAATTACTGTTATCTTATCTTTGCTTAGTGGCATAATTTAGTGATGAAAGAATTCTTGGGAAATAAAATCGTTTTAGTGTTATTTTTATTGCTTTTAATTATATAATTAACGGCTTCGGAGTATTCAAGGTTGTAATAAAATATATTTTTTAACAACTAAGTTAGGAACGACTACAAGAGGCACAATATAATTTATCAATTTTAAAATTAACAAAAAATAGGATTTTCGTATGCGCTGGATCAACAGTAGGCTAAAGCAGGCCATACATATTAACAGATTTAAGGAATTTGATGGTTTGAATGTACCCCTTTTTATCAAGACAATCAGTTAACTGGACAACCTTATATATAAAAACAATTTCGAAGGCAACAATATTGTTTAATTACGTGTTGATCAACACTCATATTTTTTAAACTTTAAAAATTATGTATATAAACATTGTTCATGTTATATTATAATGCATGTTTAAGTAAACTATGCCCTTGCGCAATGCGGTTATCCGATCTTTTCGATTAAATCAGAAAAAAACGCACCAGTCGAGACTGGTTGGGATATTGACTATAAAATAACTCACTCTTTAATTCCCGTATCAAGTAGTAAAATCGTCTTATCAGTGGAGTAAACATTACCTTATATGGTAGCGAAATTTTATGCGATAAGATAGGTGATGTCACGATAAATTTTGGTAGTGAAAATATAATTCGTGCATGTTATATAATGGACTCGTTAGTAGATATAATTGTTTGTGTGAAAAATTCTTCTTCGTTCTTTCACCTCAGTTTTCAAATATTACCTTTCAAGTTCTTAATTGCCTTTCTTAATTATTCCCCTTAACACTCCCATAGTCCCTTTTGTTTTTCCCTTCGTTTCAGGTTGTCTGGAAAAGATCGCTGTTTAGCGACAAGGCCGCCTTTTATTGTAATAAGCTAGTTCATAAGACTTCGTTTCATAAAACAAATCCGGTAGTGTTTATTATAAATCTAGTCAAATAAAAAAATATATATTTAAACAAATTTGTTTCTTGCAAGTGTTGATTAGAATTACTTATAACCTTAGAAAACTATTTTCTTTATGAATAAAAAAGTAAAAATGTAATGTTCTCCGCTATAAAATTTCACGTCATAATTAATCTCAATAATGCAATTATCCTTTCCAGAGGCAAAAATGTTCTGAACCAGAAGAGCGAGCTACAAAAGGCCCTTTCGAAACACAAAGAGAAGCAACTCATGAACCAAGTAAAGGAGCACAGGGAAACGCCAGGTACCGAATACTTTTGTTCATTTGTCATATTTTATACGCTGTTTTTGTAACCGTTACTTATGATCACACTTAGTTTAAAAGTTTAAAGCACGCTTTTTTATTCGTATCATTTTACCATCGCCACTGCAAGTGTTTATTCTGTAGTAATTTTATTCTGAAAATCATTTTGTTCAAAACTGTCTGTAGTTTACGTGAGTTGTAAACATTTAAATTAACTCTATGAAAAACTATTGTCTCCCCGTGTCCACGGCTGCTGTAAAGCAATTATTACAATAATTTTCAAACAAGTTTAACTAATATCGCGTTTTAAAACCGTTAGTGTTTTCTCTAATTGTTAGAAATGTATTGTATACCTAGTTAATATATTGAATTACTTAAAAATAAACGGAAAATATGAATTACGCAATAGTATATAACTTTTATCAATGCCGTGCAATCATTTCATTGCCATTTGCTATTTCGCTTAAGTAACATATGACTAGGCAAAAAATCACGTAGAAAGTAGGTAACTAGGATAGAGCCCAATGCTCAATTCATACGTCCAAATATTATGTTTCTAAATCTCTTTGAGTAGCCGTCGAATTGCTGCATCATGAGTCGTTGGTCTACTTGTTAGTACAATCTTTGTCGAAAAAAAGTTCACGTATACCTCCGCCCTATGTAATGTGAAAACAATAAATACTTTCTTCAATTACCGGTTGGTAACAAAAAAAAACAAAGGCAATATTAATATTGCAAGAATTACTATTGTTTAAACATAGAACTCTAAAAACTTAGCCCTAACTTTAAAGCAAAAATTTGATACCCTACCGTCCGAAGGAACAATTAGGCGCGGTCGGATAAAAGGGGATTATGTAATTATTTGTCGGGTTTAATATTCGGCTCCAATCACTTGCGCACATACACACATCCAACTTTTACTTTTTATTATAAGCCCCGGTCGGACCAGTTTTTTCAGACGAATTACGGCATCGTGTTTGGGTTGTTTTTCCCCGCATTCGGATATAATTTGCCCTTGAGGGGCAGGTGCAACGGTCGTTCAACTTCTATCATAATAATAAATACCGTTTACATACTTCGACCGTCAGGCACAGTTTTATGTCTATTTTAGTTAATTCTGTCCATTTGAAAATAGTATGTTTTTCCGGGAAATAAAACCTTGGACGTATCGCTCTTGATGAACGAACCAGATTATTTGCAATTGTGGCTAAAATGAGAGGCTGCTATAGGCAGAGTGTCTAATAACAAAAACATTACTTTCTATAAGGTGGAAAATAAAAATTAACCTAGGCGAAAATGAATTGGTCCTATTATATGTGTAAGAATTATTTTAACAATTTTCGGTCACTGCGCTCTTGTAGATTTACATTTATAGACTATAAAAATATAAATAAGTCATAAAATTGCAGTAAGGCTACTCTGCATCTAGTGGCATCTTTTGACGTTTTTTTTTAATGATAAAGGAGGACGTTAGATGGAATTTCGATATTCCTACCAGTCATTTAATATCCAAATTTCCAAACGAAGACCACCAAGTTTCAGATAAATTATAAATTGATTAGACACATATTGGACGCGGTGGGGATCAATCCCACGACCCATTCCCCCCCCTAGTTGAATGGATTATGAACCATCCATTCAACTAGTCCTCTGGTCTGGGTTTGAGTGATATAGTGAACATATTTTTTTCATTCAAGATTTTAAACATTTAACTCTCGTAAAACGTAAATCATTTAAAGTTAATTGGTATCTGTAATTAGAGTTATATCCGCAAGCTAATGTCAATGATATTTTACCAGCTTAATTCGTTGATTAATGGCAGTCTTTAATTGTAGTATTAATACTTTTTAATTTAATCTTATTACGTACATACATTAAATATCTACGTCGATTCGAGTTATAAGCAATCCTTGTCCTACTAAAGTCGAATCCTACGCACGTCTCGATCACTCCCAATACCCACGCTGCAATTAAAAGTTATTTAAATTCCCTTGCGAATGAATCATTTTGGTGGTGTAGGCTTTTGTTTTACTGAAAGCAAATATCAAAATAAGGAAACGTCAATCGTAGTTGAGCAACGGGCTCGATGATGTATGGCTAATAATTAACTGATTTACAAATTTCTGAAACATGCTGAACTTTCTCTGGAAATCTGGATATTAAATAATTCCGCCCACCGCTCACTCTATTATGAAAAGTTATTAACTCTTAAGAACAAACGTCATGGAATGACATTGCAGGCAGGCTTTTAAATGCAGTCAGATTTAAAAAGAGCGTTCCAAACTGCTTTAACTATTTTAGAATTCGTTTAATTACGTCTATGACGATCCAAACCCCATCTATTCAAAGGCACGTTTTAATGTCATGTGAAAGTACACTTTGTCCTGCCCGACCGAAATGTTCCTCTTCGAACCTCTTCTGAATTATCCCTACATATTATGTAGCTATGTTGACCAGCGATAATAATGGATTTCTTCTTTTACATAGTATCTATATATCACCATGACATTCACTCAAATGTTTATCTTATCGTGCACTCTTGTTCGTAATGTCCATCACTTGTGCCATGACGTTTGATAAAGAAACACCTTTTAAAATCTATTAACATGCTTCATTCTCGATGCGATAATATTTAACTGATAGCAATAATTAATTATCGGACTTGCCCAAACGCCTCTGCGACTAAACGCATGTTTCTTGTACCAATTATAATTACTGTCTGTAGTGTACGCGAGCAGTACACATTTAAATAAAACGCTTTAAAACGGGATATATTTTAGTTAAACTTGTTTGAAAATTATTTTTAACTACGGCCCGACGTTGCAGATGCTTTGCAGCAGCCGTGGTTACGGCTGAAAGCGTGTTTTATTTAAATGTACTAATTATTGATTTTTTTTACTTACTAAATAAAACATAAATGGAATGAATGATACTTTGAAATAAAAACATCCTACAGAAAGCAGCTTAGCTTCAGTTTACTTACAGTGAAACTGCCTGTAGTTTTACAACCTCTGTCGCCTTGTTTTCTTTAGTAGTCCCACATTTAGGACTAATCGTGTGACTAGGCACTTGAATCTTATAACATCAAAACAGACGGACACATAGTAGATTGCATCCAGTAATCGTATTAATTATTATGTTATCAGTCCATAAGTACGTTTATAATTTAAATACTATCAATCTACGTAGATAAAAAAGGTAGATAAAATATTTCTTCTAAGTTTTACTTATCTTAAATAACCTTATAATGATATCAGTGAGCCAATTTTACGTTTTATTTATCTGGAGACATATTTAGAATAATTAAAAATGATCAACGTCACTTTGATATTCTAATTGACATACAAGATTTGTTCTTATGAAATAAATTTAGCTCATTTAATAAGTCATAAACGGTAGGACTTCATTGACAGTCGTACAAACGTGTACCCAGGGCTCCCTCAAAGCACCGTAGAGGGCTGGTGGTGTGTTTAGTGGTTCTGGTCGGCTATACGATTTATCACACTCCGAATGTCACTATTGCCCGACGTGGGCGTGGATTAAGCATTCACACCATCAGTAAAAAAAGGATTTTATTAAAAAATGTTATTTACCTTATTAATAATATGACTGCGGTATAGTACTAGAGATAAGTGTTTTAATCATATATACATATAAGGTAATATATATATATATATATATATATATATATATATATATATTTTTTTTTTTTTTTTTTTTTATATATATATATATATATATATATATATAATATGCGTACTCTATATCCCTTGAATTTACGAATTGACAAACAAAGACATTATTAGAGCTTGAATAATATATTAGAAAAGTAGTTTCAATGTATATTTTTAAATTTCAGAACTGGAAAGAGCCATAGCCGAACGCGCTCGCAGATTAGAGCAGGCCGAACAAAATCACGTGGAGATAGATCCAGCTACGAATCCGACACTACAGGAGGTGCGCGCGCGCCTCCGACACGCGGCACCGCCATCTCCCGCCGCTTCCGCGCACTAAGTACCTTACCTCGTCTGTTTATAAAGATGAACGCTATCACCAAGCAATTAAATGCTGTAGGATTGTATATATCATTGTTAACTATCTAGTGATTTGGCGAAATTGTTGTTAGTTTACAATGTAACTAACAATTTTACGATGGCATATTTACATTCTGATGAAATTATCTCATTAAAAAATATACATGTTTGTGGGTACTACTATATTGATTTGACGCAGGATCGTGTAACAATTAAAAATATTGCTGGCTGGATTTTATCTTTATAAACGGGTTGCTTTCATCATTCAATCAATCAACCGTAGTTACTAGGGATCATATTTTATATCAATTTGGTTACTGACGAAGCACATAAATAATTACGATTATATAGTACTCGATGAGTGGCCTAAAGATTATTTAAACACATTTCAGCGTTACTGAATATTTAGAACAGCGCCATCTGTTATTTATCAAACTAATCTATAAGGCCTTATACAGACAGGGCGTTGGAACGTTTCAAAGTATTGAATTCGTTTGTACACGAAATTATGTTTGAGTCTGGTGGAAGAAGTATTGTTTGTTTTATGTGATGCTATGCAAGCTTTGGATGCGAGTCTTGTGTCTTTTGTTTATTTAATAATGTAGATAGGTAAAGAGCCTGTGGGTTTCATTGTTTGTCATCGAACTAAGTCACTTAAAGTGTCACAAAGGCATCAATTTTTGTATTATGTTTATTAGATAGTTGTTTATCATTGACTTCCTTAGTTTATTTAAGATGTCTACTAATAATTTAAGCGGTTAATTAAGAATAAGTTTAAAATAACATTGACTTTATTTGTTACCAAAAATCCTTTTATGTTTATGTACGTTAATACTGACTGAGGAATCGACTGCTTGAGCTGTAACGATAAGGGTAAACGTCGACTTCTAGAGAAACAAATATTTTTCTAAACCTTTTTGATCACATAACATTTCTTGAAATTCCTTTTTATGCATGTTCGTTCTCGTTAAGCACTGTATGGGACTACACGTTTATTACTAATCTGTACTATCTTTAATTAAAACAGCTTCGTGTGTATGGAGCCTAACGTGTAATTGTCAATAACGCCATCTATTGGGTAATTCTTAAACAACTTTCTTTCAAGGATTTCTGCGACCATTAAACACAACAGCGCTGTTTAAAACACTATAAATTACCTATTAAACCATTTATTGGTGCACATATTGTTTACTAAAGTAAAAAGGGCATTACATATTAATATTTGGATTAAACTAATTTCTTTTAAATAAAAATCCATATACAACCGGATATAAGGTAGATTCAGTTTCGTAATTAACGTAAAGTCCTTGTAGGATCTATCACTATGAATAGCTGTCTAGTGTCTATTGATATTGGAGTATTTAACTTAGGGACATTTGATAATTATAGAAGTATTGTTAAAATACGGTTTAGATTCATATTTACATTAATAGTGAATACATTTTTTGTACTATAATAGTGTCGTAAATCTTGACATATATTTTCCCACACCATATTGAATATTTTATATAACAAACATATTCGAATGTTACTCTCAAGTAGACCCCAAATGTAGACCAATATGTTTGATATCAACGTGTTCATCAAAGTGATAGAGAAGATATTTTTGTATTTTTATGTAACGCCTAGATGCCCTATTTATCCCTAAAATTCCTATTAAATGTAGTGACTCCCGGAGGATATAGAGGTTCGTTCGAATTATTACGTAGTATTTTCTATAAATTTTCAACTTCTATGATAGATTCATCTAAGCTATATACGACTTAAGATAACTATAATTTCCAAATATTGTTCCGAATCTCCGCTAAATGTTTAATATGGATTTGAGTTACGATACTGGTAACTAGACATTCTAGTCTCACTAGATGCAAAGATGAGACCTGGATTACTTGAAGCACTAAAGCATTTCTTTCTCCATTGTGCCTATTAGTGGTTATTGTTGATTATTTTCAGAGTATGAATTTTATTAATGGTTGTAAATTAGTGTGTTGTATCTACGAGAATTTCCATGGGTTTCCAAAATTGGTAAAGATTATTCCTTCCATTTATTCGTTTCGGATTTTCCATATCTTTGAATGCAGAATTTTTAGTACAAAGAATCACAGTGTGAAAATTTGAGTTGAGCTTGCGAAGCTGTATGTCTCGTGGCCATTTAAGTTCGTTATTACTAATTTAGATTATAAGACCTTTTGTAAAGTTGACTTGGACTGTAAACTCGGTAATTTATAGAACAATAAAAGTGTTTTAGCATTCACTCGTTTCAATCCGACATCACTCGATTTCTTCGCAACCTGCCAACGAACTAATTAATATAATAATACGGAATAAATTAATTGAATATGCATTCGCTGGTAATTTGCAGTGGAAAATGCGATTATGTCACTTAACTCGTAATTATGAAGAGTAACTTAGGAAGTCACGAAGGCGTCCCGCGTCGTCGCGCCTATCTATTGCTATACAGTTTTGACGGGCTCGTTTGCATCGGTAGGTACAGTAGTGGCAATTACTACAAAGGCTTCGTAGATTTGAAGACTTTTGGGTCCAATTCTAAATCGATTTCAAAATTAACAACTAGCTGAGCCGGCAAACGTTGGTTTGCCATATAAATAACTTCAGGAGAGGAAAAATGATTAAATTACTAAAATGGCTATTAAAAAATAAGGGTTGATCGTAAGAGGGTGAATATTGAGGATTGTATGTATTTTTTGTATGTTGTATCATAAATAAATAGAAATTAAAAATGTGGTTAAAATAAAAAACAATAGGGATGGACTACCCCTAACATTTAGGGGGGACGAAAAATAGATGTTGGCCGATTCTCATAGATACCGGATAGGCACAAAAAAATTCATCAAAATCGGGCAAGCCTTTTCGGAGGGTATGGCAACAAAAACTGTGACACGAGAATTTTTCTTTTTTTTATTATTTATTTTCTCTCATAAACTTTGTTATTTTTGATTAATTTTTGATTTTTTTTCTACTGTTAAATACTTGGTTAACAATTGTCAGGATAGCTTTCCAAATGTCCAAAGTGTTGTTAACAAAATTTAAGTGTTAAAGGGCATTTTTCCGTCCATCAAAAGTCCTCAAAATTCCTTTGTCCTCAAAAATATTTAAGGAGCTGCGGGCGAATGATCGATTATCAAATGATTATAATCTAAGAAATTTAACGGATTCGCGAAGCGTGAAGCGCTTTCGTTTTCGTAGGACAATCGAGTCACGTTACAGATAGTCACGGGCGCTACCCCTGTACGCGAAGAAATTTCCCCCAGCGTCAGTCGCACCTCGGACATTAACCACTAACCACGCTCTCGAACAATGTGGATTGCGCGCATTCGATAGACATGATCAAATTAATTCACGTTACGCTCCTCGCGGTCATCCTCCATCACAATGTCGATTGTAAGAGAACTAAAAGTAAAAAGTTGACAAGTGACACCGAATCCACGCCCAAGCCAAATGTGCTAACGTATTCCACCTTCGGATTCAACGACGTTGGATCGTACGATGGCTTCGTCCCCACCTCTCCAGACTACGCTACCTTCCTCCAAGGTAACAAACAGGAATCTTCCACTAGGCTATACGCACCGGCGTTCCCATCCAATTTGGATAGTTCAGGATTCGCTGAGAACTATGGCTCGTCTGCAGATGACCAGGCAGCACAACCGGACGAACAATTACAAGCAAGTATGACAAAATATCAGCCAGGGAATTTAAATTTCTTCACTTCACCCAGCTTCGACGGTGTCAACGAACCCAGTATGAACAAATTCATTTCTGACTCTTCATATGAACACATAGACAGTGACATAAACTCGCAAATTTACGGGGCCAAACTTAATGCAAAACAAAGAAACAAATTACTCAACGAGTTAAATAATTCTGAATTTAACGTCTCAAAAGACGATATCTCTAATGTAAACGCCGAAGCGTATATCAGAAGTCATGGCAAGTATACTGATAAACAACTTTACAGTGACGTAAACAACAACTATCCACCATTGCAAAAGTACACCACGACGACAGTGGTACCGGCTGAATATGAAAACGGTAATTTTAAAACACCAGTTTCGGCCAGCGCTATCAAGTTTCCTAGGGTAATTGACTTTACTAATATACAAAACCCATATACCCCCAATAATATTAACAATGTCAATAATAATAATGACGATATAAGTATAAGGTTCCCTAATCCGCCCATCGACACAAATGCGCTTGCCACGAACCAATTTAACACAAACACGAATAATAACTACTTCGAAAATGATGCTAATAAAAACAAACCATTTCCACACTTGAAATATAACAATTTCAATTTGAAAGAGGATCCTCAAAAGGATGAAAAGGATTTAGCGAAATTTAATTATCTAGCTAACCAAGAATTTTCTCAGAACTACTTCAATAATAAGAATAAATTAAAAGGCAAGTTTAGCTTTAACTACGACAAAATGAAGAAACCATGGGACTTCAATAAAGACGAAAACGGTAAAAAGATAAAGAGCTCTGTACGATACGAATACACGACAAATCACAGTACGCCAATCAAATATGAACATCCGTACAAACGTCCCTTCAACAATAGCGTTGATGAAATAGCGCCAGCTAGTAGCAATCTAGATTTCTATAACTACCAGCATCCTGAGTCTGATTACGGGAACTTAAAAAATTACCCCCACTTAAAACCGTCTTTTATCGATAGCGACAACACCGGTTTCGCTAACTATGCCGAGAAATTCAAACCCTTAGATGACTATCACAGTATAAAAAATCACTATACAACACTCCCCACCGTAACCTCACATTGGGGTAACATATTTAAAACAAGCGAGTTCTCCTCTCACAAAAACCATATACGAAAACCGGTGTACGAGGAAGAAACAGACGAAATCGTACACATACCGCGGAGGCCAACAAAGGACATCAATCCGTTCGGTGACTGGTCCCAACTCGGTTACAAACCATACACTCACCACAAACACCTATACGAGTGGCCCAAGGACACTAGGTACAAAACTGAGGAAGATTTACTGGGTCTCCGAAACCATGACTTGACGCATCCCTCCTACCCACCCTTCAAGCCTGACTACCACGAACAAGAGGAGTTTGACTACAAGAAACTTGTTGATAAGTGGAAACAGAACTATCTGAAGTCCAAATACAAGGATTCCATCCGCGAATATGAAAGTTACGCATCAGAAACGAAGCCAATTCACGTGCCAGTGCCGAAACCGTATCCCGTGAGTATTTTTTATTGAAATCTATGTGTATGAAAGGCGTCGAATGGAATGCGGACGAACGACGCGTCGCGCACTATTTTCTCCGCTTGCTATGATTTTGTTAAAGACGGCACGCATGCACGTTCATCTATTGTTAAAATGTACATAGCGTCATGGAAAATCAAGTGCTAGGTTCCAATATTTAATGACAGTCACGCTACACTAGTTCTAACGAGTTCAATGTCTAGTGAAAGCGTTATCTAATCCCAGACCACAATATAGGACAAGAAAGTCTTTGGGATTCAGTGGGGAGGTAATTCCAATAATTGCATGATTAAAATATCTGTGCAGTATTTTAAATAAAACAAGTTTGTATAGAAGAACTTCACGCGAGTAGTATACATTTAAATAAAACACTTTTAATGGTTCAAAATGCGAGATATATTAGTTAAGTTATGTTTAATTTACATACCGGCGCGACGTTTCAGATATTTTGTAGCAGCTGTCTTTCCCTCCGCCTTTTAAACTGTTATAATTGTTTCATTTATATATGCATATTAGCAAAAATAGAGCGGGTCGCATTTTACATTTGCAACCAGAGTAATATTGTTTGATGAATTTTTCAAGTGTCTGTAAAAGTTTAGATAAAATACCGAATAGGGATACATATAGGGATTTAACTATATATTTTTATCTATGTTTTATGGTAAAACGATAACATAAACAAAAAAGGAATACATTTATTTGTAAAGAATTATGATGAGTGTCGTTTTATCGTTGATATATCGTTTATCTGGGTAATAAACATCAAACTGATCTTTGCTTTGAGATGCCAAGATCCGTGTCTCGCTTTAAACTCTCGTAATGAAACTCTATGTGTTAATATCATACTATAATAATTATACATCATCACATTATCAGAATAAATCCTGTCAAATATGCCTTGAAGCGTAACACATAAACAAACATTCTGCATTTGTAAATAGGGAATTGACTATTTATACTGTCTGTAGGATGACAAGTTTGACAGTTCTGCACAATATGAATATAAATGATTTTTTTTTTTCAGTAAATTAACAAATTCCATCCAGCTTGAATGTTAACACCTTTATTGCACATTAGAATCACCGTCTACTTTGTTTACATATATGAACTTTGAATAAATAACTACTGTTTATAGTTTACGCAAGTAAGTATACAGTAAAACACTTTTAATTGATTAAACTGCAAAATGTATTCTAAAATAAGTTACTTCAAGTGTTAGTTACAACTTATATAATATTTACTTACTCAGAGGAAGTGTTTAAGTTATTCCTTTCGCGTTTCAAACCGTTTTATTTCCAAGGAATAATAAATCTGTAGATTCACCAGTTATTACATACTACTTACTCCTTTTGCTAATTACTAAATTTATCATCCTACATTAGACGAAATATAGTACTCAAGTGTCATTTTGTGTTCGACTCCTACCAGTTACACCATGTCCGATTTAGGATATAATGTATAGTTCGTTGCATGATAACACAGACTTTGATTCCTGATCGAATCACGTCAACGCGTATCAATAAAAAGGCGTTCGCAACATAATTATACATAACTCGGCTATGCCTAATTGGTTTTGCATGATTTGCACTAATTATTGCGTGAATTTCCTTTGAATTTGAATACTTTCTTTCCTAGTGCATCAGGGTTGGTTCTTCCTCGGCACATTTAGACGATGAATGATTTGCAGATAGAAGTGCCTCATCCAGTGATAGTGCCGGTTCCTCAACCTTATCCGGTTCACGTTCCGGTGCCGAAACCGGTTGCCGTTCCGGTAATCCGGGAAATTAACGTGCCGATTGAGAAGCCAGTGCCCTATCCGGTCTACAAAAAGGTCCCATATCCGATAGAGAAGCCGGTACCAGTACCTGTTGAAAAACAGGTAGGCTTGCAGGCGTACCTATCGTAATGTTTGTCTGTTTGTTTCTGTTTACATCACTAAGAAAACCGGGGATCCTGCCTCGCCAAGAATTGCTTGGCCGATTATCACTTTCCATCTAACGCTTCGCAGAATTTTCACTTTGACGACTAACGATTGTCGAATTTTTGTATGACTTCGTTTCATTTGGTAAAATTATTGTTAACAATTTTCGGCGAAAAGGCAGAGATCCTATTATTCGAAGTTTATATATATAATAAATAATTCTGTATCCCTGTTTGAAATATATTAGTGTGAAAAATAACAATAGTTAAAACTTGTCTGTCCTATCTAAAATATCAATAAAAAATTGTATAAAATATTTTATTGTGAATTATTACATTTTCATATAAAATAATACCTAAACATTTATATAAGAAGTCGCGGGCAAAGCTTCACAGTTCAGTTTAATAATTTATTGTATATTCAATCTGTATGATATTGTTTATAGTATGTTGTAAATAATTATTTGATAAATGGGCGTGGTAAATATACATATATAAATATTTATAAAATATGTGCATGTCAAGTCTGTACATTATCAATTATTTATTAATTAATTATTCTGAATTATTGTGTAGGTAATGTTTTCAGTGAAAAAATAAAATAATTTCGTTACATGAAAGACAATGGTGTTAAATGTAAGTATAGTAGGGCGAACTTTTCTCTTGTTGAACAACATATAATACAGGAAACATAAATATATATATTATGTTCGTTGTATAATGGTAGCAATGTATGGCTAATAACCCACAGGTGTGATTCCCACGGGTCTAACATTATTTTAATCATTTATAATTTTTTGAAAATTTCGTTAAATCTAGATATTAAACTAGTGGTAATATGAGATTCCTCCAGCCAAGACCTCGGATGAATGTTAATGGGTTTCGTTTTTAGTCTGTGGATTTCCGAATGTCAAAAGACGGCGCGTCTTGTTTAGATGTTATAAGGCTGGAGTATTTCAACTATAATCAAGTGATCCCTGCTTGTCTGTCCTTCTGTATTAAAAAAAAATCTCTTGGAAAATTTATACTTATGTGTTTAGAGCTATCATTAAAACTAGGCTACCTAATAGCTTTATAAATTTTGCTAACCATATATGTAATCAATACTAGATAATTAATCACGTTTTGAATTATTTATGTATTTGTAGTATTGTCTACTGGTTACGTGAAGGGTTTCACTTGAAATGTAAATCCTTTTAATGGTTTAAAACGCGATATTAAATACTGTCTATAGTTTATGCGAGTAGTACACATTTAAATAAAACACTTTAACGGTATAAAACGCGATATATTAGTTAAACTTATTTGAAAATGATTTTTAACTTCGGCCCGACGTTTCGGATGCTTTGCAGCAGCCGTGGTCACGGGTAGACACGACGTGACCATGGCTGCCGTTAAAGTGTTTTATTTAAACGCGATATTTATCGACGTTTGCATTTCTTCTTGAACACGACTGCCGAAAACCATCACGGCTTTATCCGTCGATAGACTGATCGTGGTTCAAAATGATTTAACTATTATATTTCGCGTTTCAAACCGTTAAAAGTGTTTTACTTATACTGCCTAATAAATAAAGGATTCAAGATGACTTATGGAACTTACTATAATCATCATTTGAATATTATAGGTACACGTACCTATAATGAAACCATACCCCGTCGCCGTACCACAAGTCAGACCCCTATTTCATCACACGCGACCCCATGATGAACGGGATCCTGACTCTGAAGACGATGACGAGTATCAACCAAGGCCCGAGGGCAGCAAAAGAATACCCAACGCAAAACGACCTAAGAAGTAAGTACTATTATAACTAAAATTGCATTATATTTTTGTTCTTAGGTTGTTTTCATTGTATAATTTGAATATTTGACTTACTACGGAAGAATAAAATTCGTTACGTAACGCGTTACGCTGTTCTGCCTGAGACGTACTTAATGCTTTGATAAATTAAATAATCTGTCAGTAATAAAAGGAAAAAAATATTATATCTATTACTTCTAAAGACTATTAACAATATAGTTATGTATATATGTACTTTTAAAGGAATTGTAAACATTGGGTCATAGTGATTATACATTACTTTAAGATTTATTATTGATTATATATTTGGCGTTTTAACCTGTTATATTTATTTAGTGTGCACTATTGTATGAACTGAATTTGAATATTCAAAGTTAAAAAAGCCGCGAATCTTAATCGCGTTTCGGTTTCAGTCTGTGGATTTTCGAATACCCAAAGCCAAAATAGGCCGACAGCGCGTCTTTTTTAGATGCTATAGGCTGCGGTATATCACCTACCATCAAGTTAAGCCTATGCTTGTATATCCTTCTCTATTATTAAAAAACTGTAATTGTTATAGTTAAAGGGACATTGAATTAATTTCTTCTCTAGCGCTACAAAATAATCGACCTATTACAGAAAATAGATTTATGAAGAACAAAGGATATATTATTATCTATACTAATATATAAATCTGAACAATTTGTTTGTTTGAAGCCTAATCTCAGAAACTACTGGTGGGAATTTAAAAATTCTTTATGTGTAGGTTTTCACGAATTTTATCGAGGAAGGCTATAAGGCTATCAAAACATGTGCAATAATCGGGGATTATTCAGTATCCTGGGTGTCCCATACGTACGCTGTGAAAACGGTTTAAGGTACCCAAAAATATGTACGAAAGAATGATTCCTCTTTAAATGATCTAAAAGAATGTCGGAGACTGTACGCGGAGGACGTAGTGGGTAATAGCTTAAATTTATAGAATTAAACAGGAGGTTTGCAAAAACAAATTTTTATGCTCAATAACTGTTCTACGAGGAGGAAGTCGCTAACACATCTAGTTATTCATATACGTTATGTTAATTTTAAAACAAAATTTCAGAAGGCAGCAACCTCGACGGCCATCACGTATGACGTACCAGGATCGGGACAAAAGACGCGGGCCACAGCGACGGCCGCCCCCAAGGGAGCAAAGATACAGACATTCACAGAATGAACACCGCAGACCGCAGAGATACCACGACAATGACTACGAAGAATATGAACCAGACTATGCGTACTGCAAACGAACTGGAAATTGCTGAAATATAAGATTAGTTGTGTTGGGGTAAGATTTAACTGAGGTAAACATCAGCTTGAAAACATCAATATTTTTCACATTTTTTACGACACGGGTAAGACTCGAGCCAGCATCCACAGCGTTCCGTACTGTTGCTCTAACCACTTTACTTGACACGGTAGCTCAATCAGTTAGATGGATGTGGATGCGAGTTCGAGTCCTGCCTTTGTCGTAATTTGTTTGCAATCTAAAATCGATTTTTAATTGACTTTACATCTCTTTCCGAATATTTATCGACAACGGCAATACCACGTCTTACCCCGACATCCCCTAATGTAAGTATACTCATATGTAGATAACGAAGTTAAGTGCGTTTAGGTTAATATCTATTTCCAGCTATCGTATATAGTCTGAAGCCGTTGTGATTTTAAATAATAACTTTGTAAATTAATCGGTACGTGCCAATGTCTCTGTGTTGTATATTTCGAGCGAATTACTGTTTAACTTGCATAGTTTATTGTATAAAGTAATCTAGATTCGATTTGTTTAAGTTATTAAAAACTTTATAATTTTTAACTTCTTGTTTCTTTGACTCTGGTATTAAATAAACAAAAACCTACTTCTCATCAAAATATAGCAAACACATCCGTGGCGCAATGCTTAAGCGAAGAGGCTAGAAATTAGGTCAGAACTTTAAAGAAAATCGATTAGTGACGCCCCATGTAGGGAAAGCGTGTTTTCATTAATAATTATAATAAATAGTTAATATGTATTATTTATTGGTTTCATACAGTAATATAAGATGAATTCCACTTTGTTTAGAAACAATGGAGGACATTGACAGCACCTGAGTGTATTAACACGTGTGATTAAATACGGGAGATGGAGTTTCGGTCACGCATAGATGCTCGCTTTTACCAACGCTCTGCTAAGCATCATGCTGCTCTCATTCCGTACTAATTCACGCGAATTCATAGTTCCTATTGACTTTAGATATGTATGGGAGAAAACGTGAGGGGGGAAATTGGAAATGCCTGTTTTCCTTTCTTTCTGCTTTGTTAATATCTAATATATAAAGCTGAAGAGTTTGTTTGTTTGAGCACCTTATTCTCAGGAACTATTTTTTTTTTCGTATTGATTAGAGTATTTGTCGAGGAAAGCTATAGGCTATAAAACATCGTGTTGTGACTAATAGAAGTGAAGTTACAGGGAGACATTTCTCCCTGTATCTTTACGATGTTTAAAAAAAATAGGGAAATATCTATAGTTTACGCGAGTATTACACATTTAAATAAAACACTTTAACGGTTTAAAACGCGATATATTAGTTAAACTTATTTGAAAATGATTTTTAACTTCGGCCCGACGTTTCGGATGCTTTGCAGCAGCCGTGGTCACGGGGAGTCTCCTTGTTAAAGTGTTTTATTTAAAAATAGGGAAATGTATGTATCTTTTTGGGTTTTCGACGTACACTGCGAAAACAGTTCAAGATACCTAAAAAATTGTATGAAAGAATGATTCCTCTTTAATTTATCTAAAAAAACGTCCGCGACACTATATATCTATCTTTTAAGATTAACTTGCAGGAACGACAGGATGCGACCGACTTCATGGGTAAACAGCTTAAATTCAGCTATAACATTCTACGGACGAAGTCGCTGACACCATTAGTTTAAATACTGTCTATACTTTACGCGAGTAGTACACATTTAAATAACACTTTAACGGTTTAAAACGCAATATATTAGTTAAACTTATTTGAAAATGATTTTTAACTTCGGCCTGACGTTTCGGATGCTTTGCAGCAGCCGTGGTCACGGGGACGGGGGTCACTCTCCCCTTGATCCCGTTTTAAACCCTTAACGTGATTTATTTAACTGTTAGTTTGTAATATGCAGAAGGGTAGAAAGAAGATGTTATTTAGTGAAAAAGTGTGGCATACTCTTATTGAGGTATTTTCTTTTCTTCCGATGATATGATGATGAAAACGTAATTTTCAAGGAAAAATAATTTCTCATTCCTTACCATTTTCTGCACTTTTCAGGCGTGCGAAAAGTCGGAGAAAGTAACGTAATTATATCTTCAAGATTCTGTTACAGTGAACTGTAGTTTATGGTTACAACGAAACATCTGTATTGCAAAATTTAAGTACACTATCCGATACTAAGTTTTACACACATACGCAGTTTATATACACAGTTTACGCAATAATATGTTTCTTAAATGATATCAAAACTGTTCCATATATGTAGAAAGTAGAAACAAATATTGACGTTTAACAAGAGCCAATATACAATTGAACATGTTAAGAGTCACAGTTAAGCTAAGTATTATAAATATTGAAATGATGAAATTGAAGTGGAAAAGAAGTTAGTTTGTTTGAGCTAACCTCTCAAGCGCCTGGATAGATTGTGACGGAACGTTCACTGAGAAAGAGAAGAGGAATAACTTGCTACTTTAACTCAGTATATATTTTGCTAAGTAACAAAAACTAGGATCGCATACGAAAATAATTTTAAGTTCAAATCCAGTTTTTTTAGACTGTCTTTATATTAAGCTTACTGTTTACTGCCTCCATTGTTCGCAACATGATCTAGGAAGCCTAGCGTTAGAAAAGCGAAAATAATGAAAAAATTCGGTCGGGCAAGGCACAAAAGTTTTATAAACTACTGAACTTCTGTAAATAAACGTGATCACTAAAATTGACACAGATATGATCCATGCCCTACACAAGGGAAACAGAATATGTAACGACGTTTCCTTAGTATACGTATGAACAATATAAAAGCATTAAATACCTTTGGTCCTTCGTCACGCCAGACAAATAAAAGTGTTTTACTGTACTCCCGTAAACGACAGACAATAAATGACTTAAGTAAAATATATTAGCTTTTGTTCCGTTCATAAACTAAACTTATTAAACAGGCGTTATTTTTATGCAACCTATAATTTAAGTTTATAATGTTTTTAAACTATAATTATGCAAGTCATGGCCAAGCGGTTGCATCGCTCACGAATTAGTGCAACAATCTTAAAACACATTTTATATTGCGAAATAATTTTTAAACTTTCAAACATCACCAGTTTGCCACTTGGTTTATGGCAGTCGAGTGTAAAGTTTAGAAGTTTATCAAAAACGGTTGAGCATTTATATTGGCTAGTTAGTCATGAAGGTAAAATAGTACTAGGACCTAGTTTAAAGACAAATTAAGTCTTTAGTCTCATTTTTCACCACTTATTTATTAGTGGCGCTAGTATTTAAGTCGGAAGCAGCGTAAAGGGTGTATAACCACCTCCGCAGATCAATGGACTCTGGCTTCGAAACTTTCGGACAATGAATGATTTTGATCGGGATGGACACAAGAGCCTCAACTGCCTTAAATAAAATCTATAAATAATTTAAACCGATCCAGAAATGTGTTCGCTCCCATACCCCACAGGAGAGAACTTGACTTTCATCTAAGTCCATATTATTTCATAATACATTTAAAGTGTCAAATATTAATTATAATTATGCTATATACATATATAATTTATAATTTTTTGAAACATGTTTGATTTCGTCTGGAAATCTGGATGTTAAATGGGTGGTAGGAACATCGAAATTCCGTCAGGGTTACGAACCACCGACCACAGATGAAAAAGCCTTTAAGTTTCATTGCATTTCGATTATAGTCTGTGGATATCCGAATATTTAAAGCCAGACAGTTGATTAAATATTATATGGCTGGGATATTTCACCTAGCATCAAGTAAACCTAAGGCTTCTGTGTAAAATCATAAAAAAAATATAACGAGTTTAAGTACGATATGATAACAGAGAACATTGGTTTTTGAAGAAGTCATTGTCGATCTTTTTTGTCTTTGAGCATTTGTACATAAAGCATAATACTAAAAAGAAAGGAAATGAAGTAGTGAAGTAAGTATTATACTATCGTCTACATAGCAAAATTTCCCCATTCTGTCTTTGCGGATGGTTTTAGATTATCCAACTCCGACTGCTTCTCTATCAAACCTTTTAATTCTTTGTTGTGTTCAATTATTAGTCCTTATATTAAAGATATTCGGATTCTTGAAAAAAAAGGTGTAACTCTATGGCAAAGTCGAGTCAAAGCCAACGTTATAATAGATGTGAAACCTCATATCACTTTTTATTCTAATTTCCAAATGAATTGTGTCTATGTTAACGGATGCGTCGATTATGGGATGAACCTTGAATTACCTGAATCGAATTTACAACATTGGTCTGTCGCAACAGCTTTCAAACTTGACATAGTAAACTGCTAGTTTGGATGGTCCAAAACATCTCTCAACAATCTCAATTCAAGAGTGTTCTGTACAAAATACTAACTAACAAGAGGCCTACTGTCTAAGTTTAAGTACAGTTTGCGGAGAGGGACGTCAACTTGTTTACTAAATTAATAAGTCTATACTAATATATAAACCTGAAGAGTTTGTTTGTTTGAACGTGCTAATCTCAGGAACTACTGGTTCAAATTGAAAATTATTTTGTTGTTAGGTAGAACATTACTCGAGAAAGCCTATATAGGCTATAAAACATCGTGCTGTGACTAATAGGATTTCTTTGCTCCTATTAATCACAGCGGGAAATGTGGAAAAAAAGAAAGAATTCTTGCGAGTTTCCGATGCGTACGCTGCGAAAACCGTTCAAGATACCCAAAAAATAGGTATGAAAGAGTGATTCCTATGTAAATGATCTAATAAAAAAGTCCATGACAAGGTCTATCTTTTAAGATTAACGTGCAAGAACTCGTCGTTCTATGAAGATGAAGAGGAGCTTTGCAAAAACAAATTATGAAGCCCAAAATACGCGGACGAAGTTTCTGATACAGCTAGAATTATAATAAAATTCAAATTAATTGACCACCAATCATAAGTAATCACACATGGACTTTATTCCCGAAAATTCTGTTAATGTAAATAGTTATTTGTCAAGAAAATGTATCCAAATTTTTACGCCTCTCAATATTGTGCATATTGTACATTTTTACGGTTAACACAATTAACGCGATTAAGAAAACTACCTTAAATTATACATAGGCTCAGTTGGCCACTGAGTGTTTACTTGAATGGGTCATTGATTCGAATTTCGGGTGGATACTAGATTTTATCTTAAGTAGCTAATTACACAGGCTTAGGTTACATTAAAATGTTAAGAACTTTGTCCCTTCTTAGTTTCCGTTTTTCGTTATAAAATCGTCCATCATAAAACTCTATTTACTTTCTTCTTATTCTTTAAAGTTAACACGTCATTAGATAATAGCGAGAAATGTTAAAATTATTCAATTGTTTACCTTAAGACTATCTGTGATGTAAAACGCCGTTAAGAAAGAGTTATATTTTAATTGCTAAACATACCAAATCACAATTATATAATACAACAATGGATGTACGAACTCAAATCGCGAAGAGTACGAGTCGTAAGTAATAACGCGATGCTATCATCCATTCATGAGAGTGACCAAATACAATATCCTTAAAAGTAAATACAGAATTTCTATTGTTTACGATTAAGGCAGTGAATATAAAGGCTCGTGAGACCTCAAACTGTTTAGTCTGTGTCGAAGGTGCCGGTAAATCAGACGCGGGCGCCATCACCAATCGATAGCATGTAAGTAAACATTTCGTTTATGCGCAAACTACCTGTCACCACGCAAGATAAATAAATACTAAGAAGGTGAGCAATTTTCAAAAAAAGAATACTACATTCTTGAGTTTGTTTCTAGTATCACACTACAGTCACCAAAACTGACATAACATATGACTTACCTCAGTATAATTTAATTTCTTAAGAAGGCCTTAAAAGGTTCTTGTAAAATAACAACTGTTCCTTTAGCCGTCGGCTCTCTATCCGCGACCAAAGTTAGGCTCTTCAACTAAGAACTTTAAAAACTTTTACTTTAAAAAATTAAGCTTGAAACAAACAAACTTTATTATTCATGATACAAGTATATTTGTTTGGACCAAGGATAGCTAGGTGTAATTTTATTCATGAAAGTCTTTAGGAAGCTTAACAGGAACAAGGAAGTCGCAAAACGTGAATGAACGCTTTTAATTGATATAAAAAAAATGTTGCACTGTTTATTAATTAAATATGAAATATTTCATTACAAATATAAAGAGGACAGAAATATGACCCGCGTTATCAATCATATTGATTTAAGTATTTAGTATGTAAGAAGGAATTTATCCTCTTATTTTTAGTTTTTGGAAAACCCAGCAGTGATATAAATTGGCATATACCTATCCTACTTTATTAAATTTAATAAGGGTAATAATAATGTAAATAAAACACTTTAGGGTTTAAAACGCGATATATTTTACGACGACCGACAACCGACGTTTCGGATGCTTTGCGGCAGCCGTGGTCACGGGGAGACACGAAACTTCGGGCCGTAGTTAAAAATAATTTTCAAACAAGTTTAACTAAAATATATCCCACAATTTAAGTGATAATAATTCTCAAAACACTATTTACTGTTTTGCTTGCACTTATCAAGGATTTTCCATAACTCGCAAATTCCGATGAGTCACTTTTTAAATGTTGAATTTAACTTGCGCATGCGGCTTTTTCTACTCTGTTGATAATTCTAATATATAAAATTTTCGTGTCTTATTGTTAATTACCATACCCCTCCGAAATGGCTTGACCGAATTTTTTTAAGTTTTATATGTATATTCAGAAAGTATGACAATCGTTTATTATCTATTTTTGTAATCATAAGTTACTAGAGCTACCCTCAATCCTCAGATGTCAATACATTATAAAAATGTTTCATGCCTCTATCAGTCGTATACCCTAGAAATAATGTATATGGCAACGTTTGCTGGGTTAGCTAGTAATCTATATATTTGTTAAGTTCAGTTAGAACCAGTTCTTTAATTCTCATGTAAACCTTTCATATAACACCTTTAATATATTGTAAATATCAATATTTTAATAAAATTTACAGATTGTTTCGATCGGGCAGGGCACAGAAATGTGTTTGCCCCATGCCCCACGGGGGGAAAACGGGATTTAAATTTTTATGCTATAGTATTTTAATACGTGTATAATTATATAACGACAAGAGCTTTTGGTTTGACCTCAAAAGTATTAAGCCTACCTTGAGTGCTGTATTGCTTGACAGGATTTCCATAGGCACGTACAAGTACATGACTTGGTCTCTATTTGAATTCATTAAATAGTGTATTCAAAGCACCTGCCGGCCTTGGGCACAATGCGACAAAAACTTCTTTGCACTTACCTACTTCATGACTTGCTAACATTCTCTTTTATGTGGAACGAAGCCATCGTGAAATTGTCGAAAACAAAACACGACACTGCATGAAGGTAAACAAATGACGAACAGATAAAAAAATAAAAATAAACAATTTCATAAGGCAATCGAGTTAAATGGAAATTTTATATTATGTTATTAACTTTTCATAAGAGATCATTTAAGGTACAAACAAAATGTTGCATAATTTATCTAAATTTTAATTATGTTTTAGCAAAATCACATTAAAACATTATGGCATATTATAAAAGAACTTCCCTTTTTTTCAATCAATTTATATAAAATAAAAAATTAATTGAATAAATTCGTTTAACAAAATTAAATTGTTTCTTCGAGATTTAACATTAATAGGTTTAAGTAAGAGACAGAAGCAAGTTTCTTTATGACAATTATATAAAAAAATTATATTTATTTTTTATTTTAAACAATATTTACAATTGATTAGGTTTATCAAAACGTTAATTACTGTGACAATGTGAAATATTGTAAAATATTGTCAGCATTATTAGATGAAAAATTTGATGATATATAGGACCGCATTTGCGGTGGAGTACTTTTTCAACTAATTCCACATTTATTTTATGATAGAGTAAAGCATACACGGGGCTCACTAGATGATAGGTAAATCACGATATCGACTAAACAAGATCCGATGGCGAGCTATTTTGGCTTCGGATATTAAGAAAGCCACAGACTGATATTGAAACTCGATTAAACTTGACGGATGTTTCATCTGTGGATGGTCCGTGGCCCCGACGGAATATCGATATTCTAAGCATCCATTTAATGTCCAGATTTCCAGACGAAGTCTATGTTTACGAAAAATTGTAGGTTGATTAGAAAAATGTTGTGCCCAGTAGGGATCGAATTTATGCCCCGTTGATTAGCCACACTTTACTATTACACTGTCATTTTTTGTTTCTTGGTCAGCACCGAATAATTGGTACCTTGGACGAAGCTCTTTTCATCATATTAATAAAAAACTATTTTCGACCTTAGAAACCGCATATAAAATGACTAAACTTCAAAAACTTAATCTTTCTTGCGCAACCAACTTGTTCATTTTTACGCTTGCTTATTTGAAGTAACGCTGTGTATTTTCTACCACCCATTCCGCTTGTTCTGTGATGAAATTTGTTGTGTAAGGGTTATTGTCAAAGTTCTCATGACTTAGATCACACGTTACTTTGAAGTATTTATGGTATAACGTTATGACTTGCACTAAAATACAAAATATATTGCAAACTACAAATAATTTATAATATTTATTACGTTTTAAAATCTCGTTCGTAAATTGTTACCATATGTATAGCTAATAATGAATCACGGACCTCCACCGCGTCCATCATTTTCTAATTTTTCTAAATAATATATGATCAGTTTAAATAAAACACTTTAACGGTTTAAAACGCGATATATTAGTTAAACTTATTTGAAAATGATTTTTAACTTGGGCCCGACGTTTCGGATGCTTTGCAGCAACCGTGCTCACGGGGAGACTCCACGGCTGCTGCAAAGCTTTAAACCGTTAAAGTGTTTTATTTAAATGTGTACTATTCGTGTAAATTATAGACAGTATTTATATCTGATCGATTTATACATTTTTGTCATGTGGACTTTGTCTGGAAATTTGGATATTAAATAAGCGATAGGAATATTGAAATTCCGTCCACCAACCTCCGTCACACAGATAAAAAAGTTTAATCGCGTCTCGATTTTAGTCTGTGAATTTAGAAATATCCAAAGCCAAAGGACTACAGAGCATCTAGTTGAGATGTGATATAGCTGAGGTACTTCACCTTCCATCAAGTAAACCTCATGCTTAACTGTCTTCTATCATGAAAAAAAAATATACTTAAAGATAGGGCTTTATTTTTAGAACGCGCTGCAAATTTACCCACAAGTACCAACATGTTTGTATTTTTTCTTACCTTACTAGTACCTAATTTTCACACTGCGTACCGAGTTGTCAACTAAATTGAAACTTCAAGAACTACTCCATAATGTTTCCTTCTATATTAAATGTAAACTTATAAAACAAAAAGATACTTATCCCCTGAGAATTAAAATGTTGCGTGCCAACAATATGATGACACAAATATAATACTTGATAAAACATAAAGAATTCAAAAAATGTTTCACACACTTCCAGGTCGAAAGCGAGAACGATTTTATTCCTCGCGCTAACTGCCATCATTGGCTGTAAAGCGGCAACACCAGAACTAAAATTCGCATGGAAACTTGTGGACTTCGCCTGGGATTCCCCAGAACAGCGCGAAGCCGCGATCAAAGATGGCAGTTTCGTTCAAGCCAATAATCTACCGCTGGGGTTAGCCAGGTGGAAGAACAAGCTCTTCGTAACCGTACCACGATGGAAGCATGGTGTAGCGTCTTCATTGAACTACGTAGATTTAGATGGACCCCAAGACCAGCCGTTGAAGCCATACCCATCTTTAAAAGACAATTTAGTTCCTGATACAGCGAAGGAACTGCCGTCAAATAGTTCCATTATCTCTGTTTTTAGAGTGTTTGTTGATCCTTGTGACAGGTTGTGGATCATGGACTCTGGCTTGGCTGATATTTTGGGTAAGTCGATTTTTAGATGCTTTATTTACGAGAGTAGTACACATTTAAATAAAACACTCGTAACTGTCAAGGACTTCGGGGCTAAGTAAAATAATTTGTAAATTTTAATTAACATTGTGGCAGACAATATCACCGTACAACTACCTACAACCACAAATCATCAAATGTGTTCATTGACTGACAAAATGGCCATGAAAAATAAAAGTTTAGCTAAAACATTTCACGTTTTGAACTGTTAAAAAGTTTCATTCAAAAGTCTAACTTTGTTGAACACTAATAATACTACCCAAGGCCTCGTTAACCGCCCTTACAAGTGTTATCAATTATATTTTTATCTTATTATGTTTCTATTGACCTGAAATATAATTGAACATATCAATTCCCCCTTTACATCGAGGCTCCCTTTGTTTCTTTTCAACTCGATTCAAATACAGTCGTTTCAACATCCTGTTACTATCAGTCTCTCAAGGAAGTCTCGTTGACGATAAAGATTTATATTCTGTACGTTTTTACATAATACTGTAAGACGTTGATGTAGACAGATTATATTAGAAAGCTCAATGCCTTTATGGTTAAACGCGTTGATATAAGCGCCAGAGGTCTCGGGTTTGAATACCGAGAATGCTGTCCTATCGGTCGGATAGAGCACCGATGATTAAATTTTAAATTGCTATCAATCAATGAAACAGACACAGCAATGACTTTTTGATCGTATGTTGTTCTGTTTTTAAACATGACTAAAATTGGATTAAATTCACAAATTCATACTAAGCTTAGTGTTAAATTGTAATCAATATTATCGGATTTATTATTTCTATTTGAATAAATCATTATTCTTAGACACAGTGTTTATTATGATTTTATCTATTGTTACCTAGAACATGATGCGATCTATGATTGCGATCAACCGCAAAGCAATTATTCACCCACAGTTTTAACTCAATGCAAGGTCATGCGCATACGGGATTTTCTTGTTCGTAATTACTTAGCAACAGATCTGATTTCCAACCAGTTAATAAGCTTGAAAAAATCGTGCCCCGCGAAGAGAACAGGGTCAGAATGTTCCATTTATTAAAATGATTATGGTATTACAGGATCACCAAATCAAGTCGCCGGACCATCTTTAGTTATTTACGACCTTAACACCGACAGACTGCTGCACCGGTATTTCTTCAAAGTTGGTGACATGAAAGAAGATTCCTTCTTTGCGAATATTGTAAGTACAAATACTTTTAGTAACATTTCACAATACTAAGATACAATATCGGGTCTATACTAATATTATAAAGCTTTTGTTTGTTTGTTAGAAGGCGCTAATCTCAGAAACTAGTTCAAATTTTAAAATTGTATTAATTTGACAATTTATTGAGGAATGCTTTAGGCTATAAAACATCACGCTGCGGCCAATAAGAGTAAAGAAATTGAGAGAAACGTGAAAAAACTATTCTTAATGACCAAAAATATGACGTATAATTTTATTAATAATCTATTGTCCGCGACATGACATGTCTTTATTTTAAGATTGTCACAAAAACAATTTTTATATAAATCAAATTTGGACGAAATACTTTATAAGGCGGAAACCTTTACTGGTTCAACTAGTTACATATAATATAATTACAGACTATTGAAGAGTTGGGGGTAAAATAATACGTTATCATGTATTTAATAACAGGTATACTGCTCTGACGTGTAAATAAGGAAAAGAACCTTTTTAGCGCAAAACAAATTATTTAAAATACGATGTGTTTTCTCTTATACCAGTTTTTTACGTTGTAAATCATTGACTTTCGTTTTTTATTCATTGAAATTAAAAAAGACACTATTATTTATATGTTTATATGCAGTTTACTTTTAGACCTATACAATTCTCAATATTTAGCTTAGAATCTATACTAGGATCTATAGCGCTGATCGCATTTCAGCTATGAAGTGAATAATACAATTTGTGTATTTACTTAGATTTTGCTAAGGTGCCTAACGAGTTTAACTCAACTCCTTAGAAACTTAACATCTATTTAATAAGTTAATGGAACTTATAGAATATTGTATTATACATTTTTAGGTAGTTGACGTTGATAAGGACACCTGTGATAATGCCTTCGCCTATGTACCTGACTTGGGAGCATACGGTGTCGTCGTGTACAGTTTAAAAGACAACGACTCCTGGCGTGTATCCCACCATTATTTCCACTTTGAACCACTCGCTGGGTCCTACAATGTTAGTGGCATTGAGTTCCACTGGACAGATGGAGTTTTCGCATTGGCACTGTCGGAACCAAGGGAAAACGGGTAAGTTACTTTGTGAACGATAGATGGCGGTAGTGTAGCTTGGTTGTGTAAGTGGAGTGTTATTCACACCGATTAGTACCCAAGATAAAGGTCTCTTATAAGAACAATATAGGTTCTGTCATGCCGTTACTTAGCATAACACTTCTATAGATCCGAATTCCGAAGCAATGCGTTTTAGGGAAATAACCTGTGAGTGTGAAAGTAAATATGCGCCTAAAATAGCTAGTGCTAATCACTTATGGACTAAAATATTTATGACTCATGGTTACCAAAGTGTTTTGTTGAACTGTATAACATTATGTTTAATCAATATTTCGTGTGATTATATTGAATTCTTTGATTCAAATATGAGTTTATTTTATTATTGAGTATCTTGCAAACGAACCCTTAAGACTAATTAAAAAATTTTGCGTTAATTAAAACTACATATTTTTTGCATAATGATTTATAGCAACTATTCATATTTATTTAGTACATAGTTGATATGATAACTACTATCACTTATTAGAATCGATTATTTTCCACAAGGTCAAAAACTACTTTCAATGTTAAAAATAACTATGTATTTTAATTCACCTAATATCAATATTACAATACAGCGGAGCGTTAGAAGCTATTATGTACTGTCTGTAGTATAGGCGAGATTTGAATAAAACACTTTTAATGGTTTAAAACGCGAAATGTATAATCTAATACTCGCGTAACTAGAAAATGCACTATTAGCATTTTAAACCGTTAAAAATGTTTTATTTAACGTTGCATTTTAGCAAGACTAGGATGCGGATTCCTGAAAAAGATTTTGTTACGATGTATTAACTTAAATAACGGTTTAAAACGCGATATATATTAGTTAAACATATTTTAAAATTATTTTTAACTTTGGCCCGACGTTTCGGATTGCAGCGGATTATCATATTAATAACAATAACAAATAGTTATATATTTCTAAAAGTGAAATTTACACTAATTTATAATTTACAGTATCACCGTATGCACATTTAGTTATTTCTTTTATTTGATTATACGTCAAATAACTGATTGCTTGAGGCATCATGACAAAACATATACTATTTCGCTTTATTACCTACTCTTTGCGTGCCTTCAAATGTTTAACATAAATGAATAGAATTTTGCGTGCGTAATATACATAACTGGTTTGAGAACAAGGCAATGGCCGGATGAATCGTGGAGCTAAAATCAACTATAGGTCACACCGTGGTTTAACGGTTAAGTTTGACGGGGAAGGAATGTACGACCATTCGACATGTTTCTAATTTTTCAATTTCAATTTTTTCTGAAACATGTTGGACTTCGTCTGGAAATCTACATATTAAGTGGAGGGTAGGGATATCGAAATACCGTCCAGGTCACGAACCACCGTCGCGACTATAGTTTACGCGAGGAGTACCTACACATTTAAATAAACGACTTTAACGGTTTAAAACGTGATATATTAGTTAAACTTATTCGAAAATGATTTTTAAAATGTTAGTGTTAAAAATCATTTTCAAATAAGTTTAACTAATATATTGCGTTTTAAATCGTTCAAGTCTTTTATTTTAAAGTTTAATCACGTTTCGGTTTCAGTCTGTGGATTTCCGAATATCCAAAGCCAAAATAAGCCGACCGCGCATCTTAGATGCTAGACTCAGGTATTTCGCCTACCGTCAAGTAAGCCCCACGCTTATCTCTCCTCTTGTATCATTAAAAAAGTACATAAAAATTTTTTTTACAGATACCGTACTATGTTCTTCCACGCGTTCTCAAGCACTAAGGAATTCTGCGTTTCCACTGAACTCCTGCGCAATTACACCCACATTGATAAGAGCGAAGCTTTCCACGATTTCAAGGTAGGTGCAGTAGTGGTATACAATTGTGTCTTTAACTGGTTAATTTGCTGCAAATGAGAACATTACAACTACAACGTTTGAACAGTTTTGGTTGGAAAATTAAACACGTTTAAAATCTACTTTACTGACAAATCAAATATATACTTCTTATCGCTAAGCAGCGATCTCTTCCAGGCACCCTGAAGTACAAGAGGTTAATTAAGGCTTATAAAGATCTTACTTGCTTCAAAATAGATACATATAAACGTATTATGTGAAAGTTGCTAGTTTGAATCCCGGGAAAACATTAAATTATTTCAGATGATAAGGGCTAGACAGTCTAGTTTACAGTATATATTTTACCAAAACTTTTATGCACCTTGCAATAATATCGATATTTGTTATTTACAATAGTTCTAAGTTTGAATCCTTGTAAAACATTAAATCATTTCAGATGGTAAAGGGCTAGACTACACAGTCTTTTAAATAATGCAATTCTTAGCGCAACACTCATCTTTTATGCCCTTTAATTATTTTTATGCCCTTTCATCGTTATAGAACTTATACATCGCCAATAAATAAAAGAAGCTAGTAGATCACTTGTTATTGCAATTTTATTAACAGCATTTTCAAGGCCAATTAATTAATGTCCTACCTACTTCCCTATCTCAACCGGTTAACAATGCAGAAACACGCACATTGTTCTAAGCAGAGGTACATTCACCTTAGATGGAAGTTTTTCCTTACTTTCAAACTATTACAATATATGATTGATAGGAGTGACTAATCTGTCGTTCACTCGAGGAGTACACAATATAATGGTTTACATCGCGAAATCTATTAGTTAACTTATTTACAAATCATTAGAAACATGGGGCTGTTCGTTAAAATAAAGTTTGAATAAGTAAAATAATACATTTCGCGTTTTAAACCGTTAATAGTCTTTCATTTAAATGAAAGGATAGTCATTTTCAAGATAAATCAATTAAATCCGTTTCTTTGATCTAAACTAGCCAATGCATTTACCTATACCCACGAAACAGTGTCAAAGGGGTAAATAACACTTCGTTGTAGTAATATATAAAAAATATGTACGACTTATCAAACTACATGAACCAATTCATTTTTTTGTAAAATTCATTTTTATAAAACTCTTAATCTTAAGGGTGTCTGTATATATTAGGTAACTTATTCACATTGTATTGTTTACTTTTGTCCTAATGTGACTATGGGTGCCACAAAGCATCCAAAACGTCGGGCTGCAGTTACAATAAATTGTTAATGTGTTAACTAATATATTTCGCGTATTCAACCGTTAAAAGTGTTGAATTTTAACCCGTTACTTTGTTCCTTGCAAATATTTCGGGTTCAGATAATATTTTAATGAATAGTTTTTATATTTATTTTCAGTTACTGGGAGATCGTGGTGCAAACACGCAATCATCTGCTAGCTACTACGACGCCAAGAGCCGAGTACTTTTCTACACGCAGGTATGAAAAATAATTATTTTTCAATCATTATCTCTCATTTAGCATTTGTCCTTATAGAAATCTGTTACAGTAACTCAATTCGCATGAAATACCGCATGATTGTGAAAACACTTTTAACTTCTAAGAAGGTGCCAGCATCCCTCACATCTTAGCTGATTTGACTTTAACATTAGAGACAGCCTCCACCTTTAGTTCCCCCGTGACTACGGCTGCTACTAAGCATTCGAAACGTGGGACCGTTAAACTAAATTTTAAATAATTAATGGTTATATTTTGCTTTTTTTTATTGAAGTAAGACACTAAAAAAACAGTTTGCCCGAATCCAGAAACAGTTCCTTATTAAATACTGTATATAGTTTACGCGAGTAGTACACATTTAAGTAAAACACTTTAACGGTTTAAAACGCGATATATTATCAGCAGTTCCTTATTTTTAGAATTATTTCCAGATTCCAGGTCAATAAATACAGTCATTTGTAAGCTTTCAGAGAGGAATTACTAAAAATGGCTCACGCACCATAGTTTAATCAACAAATAAGTGCAATACTGTAATTAAATAATAATTTAATTGGTTTTTTTTTTTAGGTAAACCGGGATGGCGTCGGATGTTGGAATTCAAACAAGCCTTACACACCCGAAAATAATCCACTTATCATTTCGGATCCTCTTCTATTCGAATTCCCCAACGATCTAAAGGTTTGTTGCATTTATTATTATAAAAGGAAAATCTCCCGTGGGACATGGGGCGGGCAAGTAGTTGATCTGACTTCTGCTGCTACATCTATTGGTTCCCGGGGACTCGAACCGAGGAACTTTCGCGCTTGACACTGCTAGACAACATATTTATGTTTGTCTACAGACGCGGTCATTAATTATTAAAATAATCATTTAAATATGAGCCAAGCTAGATATTTTATGCACGGTATATTTCTTGAGCTGTCGGAATAAGTCAAAAGTGCCTTTAAAGTTAAATAAAACAATTTTAACGGGTTAAAACACAAAATAGATATATTAACAGTTAAATTAGCGTATTTTAACTAAACCCGACGTTTTGGATGCCTAAGCCTAAGTAACCGGTAAATGAAATTGTTTCTTCGTTATAGATTTTTATCTGTGGTTTCAATGACATTGTATTATATCGGGTTAATTTTGTATCCCGAGATTCTTTAGTTTCTCTATAAATATACATGATGGTCATACCTTTGTTTGAACAGAATGTATAGGTATTCACTAAGCAGACTACTTTTTATTGGAAAGCGTCTTTATAATAAATGATATTATAATTTTCGTCAATATATTACCTAATAACGTAGGTCGTAAAACAATAACAATTCGAACCTCAATATTACTGCTATATTAACATAATACTAGAATAGTATTGCTTTAAATTTCTTATTCTCCGCAGGTTGATTATGAAGACACGCTATGGATCTTAAGTGACAAGCTGCCAAGATTCATTTACAGGACCCTGGACCCAAATCAGGTCAACCACAGGATATTCAGTATAAAAGTTGCAGATGCTATATCCGGAACTGCTTGCCAATAGATTAAGTATTGTGTACCGTGTACACGCACACTTATAAGCGTTAATAAAAAATAAAAAAATATATCGTTGTTTTATTTTTATTCACATAGACATTGACAAAATCGTTTAACGTCATCGATCACTAATACACATGTTTAACGTAAGTAATACTTCTTTTGCGAATACTGTCTTTTATATACCTAAATAAAAAAATATACGTGGGTAGTATACATTTAAGTAAAACACTTTTAAAGGTTTTAAAGTATTAGTAAAACGTCGGGCCGTAGTAAAAACGTTTCGCGTTTTAAACCGTTTGAAGTCTTTTATTAGAAATATTTTGAAAATGGAAATTTATTCTTACACTAAACATTGTTACCGAAAGGATATGCTCATGCTAAGATGCAAATCTCGTGATTATCTGATTAATGGAACAATATAATCTTGCTTCTACACGTGTATGCTTTAAGATAGCATTAAATTCAATAGTATGAATATATACAACCAAAATATCAATCTACAAATACTAGATGCGGTCTTTTGTAACTAAAACACAAATTTTCAACTGTCTAATAAAATCTTAAGAAGTATCGCTTTCCGAACACCTAAGAATTAGAACTATTCCATTAGATAAAAATAAAACAAAATAAGTATGACTTTCAATCTATTTAAACAGTGAACAGAGTTCACTGTATTTTAGAAAAAATAGTGATACAAAATTATACTCGTTATCTCATTTAATTGTGCTCATGTAATAATAATCTGGTGTCATGACCTGGTAGAACAATAAACTATTATCATTTGGAAACATCTGCTTACTTATAAAAAATACATGTATATTTCGTAGTTATAACCTCGTTTAAAAACAATTACAAGATTTTAAAATATACCTGGCAATAACTATAATAAATCTATAATTACATAATCCAACATGTATTTGTGTCAACAAACATTATTATTGTTTAACTTTGAAGTAGCGATAAGGTTAAAGTTTGCTTTATTGATGCAGATAACTAGTTTTGTTCGAACATACGCTGAGAACCACCATTCACTCAAGCAACGCGGCAGAAGGACATAGTGTTTAAACAAAATGGCGCCAAACTTCAAGACTGAAAAAGTTGCCATATTTGGCAGGTACGTAAATTTAAATTTGTTTGTATTACAAACTAGTCGTTATACAATTTATTATAGTCTAAAATATAAAAAATAATAATAACCAGTAGATCATTGTACAAACAGTTTTTTAAAATGATAGATTCTGAAGTAGAAATTAATTAAAATAGCTTACTATCAAAATCAATGTAGTAACTTAATAGTCAGGTCATGTAGACGACAAGATTAGCGTAACGCTGCAGGTCGTTTATTCACCTACATCCCTACATTTTATGCAGTCACAGTAAATGTGTTCTGAGGAAAAGTATAATCTTTCGTCTTACTTATTTATAAGGAAATAATGTCAAGGATTATTACACGTTAAACCAAAGCCTTTAACCATGTATTTTTGCAACCTTGTTCTGTAATTATTACAGCATTACAAAAGGCTGAAAATTTAAATTGTATTTAGTTAGTTATATATTTATTATGGATCTCGAATCGTACCTGTGTATACATGAATTGAAATAGAACCTGTTTTCTTGTAATATCATTAAGAAGGTACCTTCTTGTACCTTGTTGTATGTGTAAATCGTAATACGACTGTCTGTTAATATGTAGGGGGGGTGTCTTATCGTTGCATTGAAATGAGTATTAATTATGGAAAACCAGTTGACTTTCATAGAAATTTAAACTAAGTATTTTTGTTTGCATTTAAATAAGAAAAAATGCCTAGAAGTATAAAAACTTAGAAATAATTTAGGAGTAGCCAACACCTTTTCAATAAAATTATTATGTAATTAGTTGTGTACCAATAGTTTTTTTTTTAATATTTTTATTCATATAATTTTAAACACTGTTTACTAATTTGTACCGGTAACAAAACTGCCGGAGGTTAAGCGATTCAAAATATATATTATATTTTATAATAAAAAAAAATACAAATCGAATATTAATAGATAGATCATCAACTCATTTTTCTGTAAATCTGAAGGTCGTTACATAAAAAAGAACACTACGAAAAAGTACTTAATAAAAAAATTAAGAACAATTATTAAAATAACTAATCTACAATCACAAATCCCTTTATTTATTTTCAGTGGTCTAATCGGTAGATCGTGGGCGATGCTATTTGCATCTGTAGGGTACCAAGTCACAGTTTACGATATCGTGCCCAAACAAGTAACGGATGCTTTAGCTGATATAAAAGTCCAATTGGAGACATTGGAAAAAGATGGTCTCCTGCGTGGCACGTTAACAGCTAAGGAACAATTTCAGTGCGTTAAAGGTATGTTTCGATATCACAAATAAAAATATAATAACAAAATTAAAAATATAAGATGCACCGGTCGTATTTGAAAATGATAACTTTAATATATTATATAAATATATTTCGATTTTAACTAAGAACTACTGAGTATTAAGAGTCAAACATTTTAATGATAACTTTAGGTATGTCTTTATAACTAGTTGTGCCAGCGACTTAGTCCGCTAAGAATATTTATTTTGGGCATCCAAATTCGTTTTTTCAAACTCCTTCTTTATAATTAATGTAATCTTAAAAGATAGACATAAAGCGTCGCGGACTTTTTTCGATAATTTATAGAGGAATCAATTTCCCATGCATCTTTTTTGGGTATCTTGAACCGTTTTTGCAGCGTACCTACGCCTCGGAAACTCATAATGATGAATTTACCAACATTTTTCACACTTCCCGCTGTATCTTCGCTTGTATTAGTCACAGGGCGATGTTTTATAGCCTATAATAGCCTTCCTCGTTAAATGCTCTTACCAACACAAAAAAAATAATTCGAACCCGTAGTTCCTGAAATTAGCGCGTTCAAACAAACAAACAAACTCTTCATCTTTATATATTACTATAGATATAGTCAATTGGAACTCGCATATAAAAGGATAAGAAAATAGGAATATTAAATAATACACGTACACAATAATTCAACCTAGTAAGGTATACCTAAATTAAATGTATAGACTGTTATACCTATATACTTCTGGAATAATTGTGTAATAACAATATTATGTAATTGCCGGTTATCAGTAATATGTACACGACAAGTCTTAGATAGTGCCAGAAAGTAATTATTTGTATTAATATAAAAGTTATGAACAAATCACAATAATGACTGAATTTTTTTTTTTGCTTTTCCTATTTGTATGGGGTTATATTTGAGGTTTGAAGAGAGACTAATTAAACAAGGCGCGAAAATAAAACAGATTATAATTAATAAATAATATTTTATCTTCAACAGGTACCACAGATTTACCAACGGCACTGAAAGATGCAATTTTCGTTCAAGAATGCGTACCAGAGAGCCTAGAATTGAAGAAAAAGGTTTATAAAGAGTTGGATGACTTGGTCGGAGATAATACGATTCTATCGAGTTCCACAAGTTGCATATTGCCATCCAAATTCTCCGAGGGGCTAAAGCATAAATCACAGGTAATATTTTTTTTATTTGTTAAATATTGTAATATAATTTGGATTTTAAAGGAAAGCGAGAAAAGTTTCGATTTTTATTACTAAATAACTCATTTAAATAAAACTATTATGACGATTTAAAACACGAAATATATTAGTTAATTCATTTAACATGTATTTTTACCACGGCCTGACACAACGTTTCAGCAATTAATAATTAATGTTTTTTATGTTATAGGTGGTTGTATCTCATCCAGTTAATCCTCCCTACTACGTTCCTCTTGTGGAGATAGTCCCAGCACCATGGACGAAGCCGGAGGTCGCTAAGAAAACGAGGGAAATAATGCTGGAAATCGGCCAAGAACCCGTATCACTTTCGCGCCAAATCGATGGATTTGTACTCAATAGAATTCAGTATGTTATTTTTATATGTTAATCTCTTTAATAATAAAGTAAACGAATTACAAATTTTACGTCAAAGTAAATTTTAAGTACTCGTATTGTATAGTAATATTTGTAAATGTCGATATTGTTTAAAATATGCATACTTATAACACGTGCCATCACATACTAAGTTTTACTTTACTCTTTCACCATTCCTGTGCTTTTCAGATATGCGATCCTCAATGAAGTCTGGCGGTTAGTCTCTGACGGAGTAGTAAACGTCGAAGACATTGATAAAGTAATGTCCGAGGGCTTAGGAATGAGATACGCCTTCTTAGGTTCATTAGAAACAGCGCATCTAAACGCTGAAGGGATGAAAAGCTATATTGAAAGGTAAGCTTTAGGAAACAAAAAAAAACCTTTGTCTTATCTCATATTTAACTTAGATAATGTTGAAACTGACTAATGATGATGGTAATTAGTACTGTCACATTTAAATAAAATAATAACGGTTCAAAACGCTAAATGTATTAGTTAAAGTTATTCAAATATTATTGTAACTATGGCCCGACGTTTAGAATACTTTGCAGCGGTCATGGCCACGGAGAGACCGTAGTTTAAATAATATATTTTGCGTTTTAAACCATTAAAGTGTTTCATTTAAAAGATGGCGATATTATTAATTGACGGTGTTATGATTTTAGATCGATGAAAAAGCAAAGATTTTAACGTCTCTGTTGTTTCAGATACGGTGAAACAATATACAACGTCAGTAGTACATCTGGAGCTATACCTAGAATGACTGAAAGCGAGCACGCAGACAATATCTGTGAACAATTAAATAAATTGGTGCCGATTGAAAAATTGCCCGAGCGTAGAGCTTGGCGCGACGCCTGTTTAACTCGTCTATCAATACTCAAGAAAGAAATGAAGAATAATTACAAGAACTAATATAATGTTTCATAAAATAATTAGGGCGAAATAAAAAAAATATTCGTAGAACAGATTATAAAATGTTATTTTTCTTTTAATTAAAGTTATTTTCAGTTTGCACCAGTTTTTTTTTGTATCTAGGTATCTGTCCGTTGTATTTCCAAAGCAAATATTTACTTATCTGCAACTGATTAAATTTTTGACACTATATCAGTGTTGCTAATTTATTAGTTGTTTTAAAACATAGGTCTTAGTTTCAAATAGTTTAAAAATAATTTGTTTTTCAATAATATTAGCAGCAATTAATTGTTACCTTAATATTATTTTTTATTCATATATAATTAGTATTATCAAATAAATATACATAACTCTAATATATCATGAATTTTACTATTTCAAGGAGCCTATATAGTCTCATAATCTCAAAGTTGTTACTTATGTTTATATGTTATATACAAAGAACGTATAAGTGTTTCTATTAGTGCGAAATGACAGCACATAACAGTGACATTGAATACTGACATATGTGTTGCCACAAATTGACCCTTGAAATTAATTATAACAGTAATACCTGTTAGCCTTAATTTAGAATTTTTTAAATTACCGGATTCATAAACAATATTTTGTAATTTATAGGATATATTAGTTGTCTTTTAAAACTATATTGTTAAAAACCCAAAATATAGACTGATATTGTACACGGCATAAAATATTTTAGTCTATACATCGGCGATTCGACGTTGAATATTGGCAACACAAGTTTCGTGTCTCTGTCCTCAAACCTCAAATCTGCTTCAATTTTTAATGGATTCGTAATTTTATTTACATGTACCTATTGGGCTCAAGCCTTTTATTTCACGCAGTTTCAAACGTTCTTTTTAAAATTATAATTGTTAATGAAGCAGATATTGATCTCTTTTGTGAGATATGTAATCATAGTTAAATAATTAAAAATTTTTACTAGAAATCGTAAATCTACAGACAGTTTTCCAAATGTGTTGTTGTAATAGATAATGGATCCAAGAATGTGCAGAAAAATCAGTAGCAGTGAAAGTCTTCCAGATGTTGATAATGAAGAATTCGAAGTTTCCAATATTATCGCACCGCAAGAAAGTGAAGACAATTTACTTTTGGAGGGCAGCCCAGAACCACAAACCGTGACCTGGCTTGACGACGATCAAATAGACGATCTTAATTTAGACCAAACTAACCTATTTTTTCATAGAGTTGATAGTGCAGACATAATTTATAGAAGCAAGAAAAAAAAGTGTAAATTAGTAGGAAAATATGTAATGGGTGACATTTTGGGGGAAGGTTCATATGGGAAAGTTAAAGAGATGTTAGACTCAGAGACTTTGTGTAGGCGTGCTGTTAAGATATTAAAGAAGCGGAAATTGAGAAGGATTCCTAACGGTGAACAAAATGTACAGAGGGAGATACAACTGTTACGAATACTTAGACATAAAAATGTGATAGAACTAGTCGATGTTATGTATAATGATGAAAAGCAGAAGATGTATTTAGTTATGGAATTTTGTGTTGGTGTCCTGCAAGTGAGTAACAAAGAAAACTATATAAAAAATTTAATTATAGATTTCTTATGTAAATTCTAATATTTTACCATGTTAATTCAGTACCCATACAGAAATAGGTAAAAGAAATAATATTTGTTACATCCGAAACTTTCTGTGCTTCAGTGGCAATTGTAATAAACAAGAAGATGATCAGATTTTGTGCAACCAAATTATTTTATCATGTTTTAGAACCCTTTATAATGCTAATATTTTATGATTAAACCACAGAGGTGGTCAATTTACTCAATTCACAGAGGTGGTCTTTAAATATAGGTCATATTGTTGTTGCAATTAAAGATAAATACAGATAACTGTTTATATCTGATAATACTCAAAAGCTCCTCTTCAGTCCTTGAGCAATTAATTCTAGATCTTATTAGACCTTTTTTCAATTTATCATCTTTTCCAAGATTCAAACAGTGATACAGCCACTTAAAAATATGACAGTATGCTTACAACTAATCCATATGCTCAGATTCACATTATTAAATATGTTTTTAGGATATGTTAGAATCTAGTCCTGGTAAGAAGTTTCCACAAAATCAGGCTCACGACTACTTCACTCAGCTACTTGATGGCTTAGAGTACCTGCATGGACAAGGAGTTGTACACAAGGATATCAAACCGGGAAACCTACTGCTTACTCTGGAACAGACATTAAAAATTACAGACTTTGGAGTAGCTGAGGTGAGTTCTTTCTTTCGATAGTATCTACTTGTGTGTCTTGTTTTGCAATAATGTAGTAATGCCTTTAAACTTGTTTATTCTTCGGTGACAATTCTACACTTAGTTTTTGAGCTTTTGTCATATAATCCAACCAATCAATGCTCATATTATAAGCGAAGTAACGATACTATGACCCTTTTATCATGCTAGCACCTATCCACTCACTGAATGCTGTATGTACTAGAAACAGAGACATGAATTTAAGGGAATTGATACAGTAGTATATGTAAAAAAGTAACTAGGGATGGCACAGGTAATAAGAATTTGCAAAGAACCAAATGGTTTGAGGGGACACAATTGTAGTTCGGCATTGTAACAGCAGAGCCAGCATCCATTTTTGTTCCCACTATGAAGCTATTGCCTCGTTACACAGTAGTGTACTTATTAGTACACTACTATGTAACGAGGCTTCATATTTTATATTACTAAAGATTTTATGCAAAAATTCTTACATACTTTCTTCTTAATATATACCTTGCATGATGAAATAATCACAGGTCATTGTTGGTAAAAGCATAACAGTATTATCTTTGTTTAGTTAAAACCTTCATTTTTTTTTGACTGAATTTGATTTCATAAATACAAAAATAGGTGATGAAGAACATAATTGGTAATTTTAATAATTGTTTATGTTGGAGCATATAAAATAAGAAATCTGATCAACAGTTGATGGTCCAACATATTTCTAAAGATTTTTTTAAATCATGGACTTCATCTGGCAAACCTGGATATTAAATTGGTGCTAGGAATATCTAAATTCGTGTCATTCACCAACCACCTTTTTCAAATATAAGTGTAAATCTGAGTTTTAGTCTCAATCTGTAAATTTAAATATCCAAAGCCTATATAGATTGACAGAGCATCTTGTTTAGATGTATGCTTGTCTGTCCTCCTCAATTATGAAAAAGCTTATGTAAATCTGCATATCGCTATTATTATTTACATGTTAGTGTAATTATTTGTTTCCTTATAAACTTAAGTAGATTTATGCATAAATACTAAAGCTACTTAAACATTATAGTTCATTGTTCTAATTGCTTGTGGCTGTGCAATTCTGTGAAAAATATATTACTCATGTCAAATGGCTTTTGGCCTTAGAACACACAATATTACTCACTGCTAATTCAATGAAAATTAAATATTCAAATAAATGTACACGATTTTGTACATGTAGTCGGTAGTAATCTGATTGTAACATGGATGTGTTAAGTAGGTCAAGCTCACTGCAGTTATCTTTTTGAAAGTTGTAACAAAGATATACAGGATGTGGTTCCAGACAGTTATTTCTGCAGATAATTTCGAGATTTCAATACAAATTTATCCTTAAGTGGTGGTGGTGGTAGGTGGTGTACTCCGTGCTTTAAACTCAAGTCATTGTGATTCTCATTTACTGTTCTACACATTATTTTACCATAGATTAAGATATGTTTCATAAGAACTAAATCAAAAATTTACAAACTCTATTATAGCTATTTTATATGTGCGAATTCCCATATGCCATAGGACATGGGGCGAACACATTCCTGTGTCCGTTTTACTGATCGGTTTTATTTCAACCATTTACACTTCTACTGCCCGACTGAAACAGTAAATTGCTTCGCCGGGATTCCAACCCAGGATCTTTGACGCTCAGCAACTAGTTTAACCATTAAGATACAGAGGCGGGGTGAAAGCTATTTTGTATATTGAAAACTTATAGTGTTAAATAAAAATATATAATTATTTCAATGGATATTATGATATAATGTTTTTTTTATGCATTTGCAGGCCCTGGATATGTTCTCTCCACACGATACGTGTTACACAGGCCAGGGGTCGCCAGCCTTTCAGCCGCCAGAAATCGCGAACGGAGCTGAAACGTTCGCCGGCACAAAAGTGGATATATGGAGCAGCGGTGTCACACTGTGAGTCTATAAAAATTTACATTGATGTACATTATAGAATATTATTCTATTGTATTCTTCAAATGCTAATATTGAACCTTATTTTCTATTGTGCGCGAATAAAGCATTGAGTCACGCTTATTTATATTCAAGATTAAAATGTAAGAATTGCGACCTATATTTTATTTTCGGATTCACAAAGGTGGTTAATGTTTTGATTCGCTCTGCACTGAATCTTAATACATTTCTGAGGAATGTGCGAAGCAAGTATTTATAGCAATATTAGTTATTTTCCTTCGTCAATAGACTACAAGGATAAATTGCAAACTCGAGTATATGGTTTATCTCGGTATTGAGTCATAATTAAAACAAACAGTGTAATCTGAAATGAGTTGCATTGTTTGTTGTATACAGGTTTTTTATATTTTGCATTCCTGCAAGATTAGTCTTAAATATGTTAAGTTCTTGGTTCTTGTTGTTTTGTTACAATATCAGATATTAATTAATATCTGTCATTAATAAGATTTTTATCGCCATGGAAACCAACTAGTCAACAGACAAATAGGATTTATAAATATGAATAATACATTATTAAGCGTAGGATGTTGTATGCATAAAAAGCAATTTCTTTAAACAACTCACACTAATACAATTTAAAAACAATTTTACGGTTTAAAACGCTAATTATATCGGTTAAACTTATTTAATAAAATATATTATTCAAATATTATTGTAACTATGGCCCCGAAGTTTTGGATACTTTAAAGCAGCCTTAGCCACGGAGAGACCGTAGTTTAAATAACTTTAACTAATTTATTTCGCGTTTTAAACTGTTTTAATAAATTAGTTTACACATGATGGATTAGAATCGATTCAAATTACTCGATGATTAATCGATGTTGTATTAATATCTTAATCGAAGTTAATATCCCCGAAAACAGTTAGAGTTTACTATTCATGAAATATGCAATAATATTCCATGAATCAATGGTAATTGCTCTATAGTTAATTGATATTTTACTAATCCAGATACAACATGACAACAGGACGGTATCCGTACGAGGGTGACAACGTGTATCGGCTGTTGGAGGTTATTGGTCGCGCTGAGCCGGCACCGCCGCCGGCATCTGTGGGCCCCACCCTAACCGCTCTCTTAGTCCATATGTTGAAAAGGGACCCGGAACTCAGGCCAACTGTACAGCAGATTAGACGGCACGAGTAAGTTATTAATTTTAATTGTAATTAATTATTAAGTTTAATTCTTAATATAAGTTTAATTAAAATTAATGTTTGTAACATTAAAATTAGCTTAAACTATTCCCGTTCCATGACTACCAGCTTAGAAGTTTAAACTGAGACGAACTTATAAGACATTTCATATATGGTTTACATAGAAAGAGATAATAAAGAACAATTACTTCTATTCTGTGTCCCATTTGTGCTACTTGCCACATTGTTACTTAAATGTCCTTAGTTTTGGCTTGTAGTGGGGAGAAACTAAACGAAACTGTGTTTGTTTTTCTATTATATATAGAACGGCTGTTTCATAAAAACTAAATTATCGTAAAATTTGTGGCAGCCCTGTTTTCAATATTAACTCTTAACTTAAGTGGCGATTTGCCTATTTCGGTAGCCCTTTATAACAATACCGTAATGATACAATGAACGATATTTAATGATATATTTCAGCTGGGTACGTGCAATACCACCGCTGATGCCCGGAGAGAGAATAGTCAGTCCTCGTTCGCGTAGATCTGACGAACTGCACAATTCCACTGTCATCCCATACTTAGTAGAAAGGCATTACGTCTCTGCGCAGGAGTACTTTACTGAAAGGGACCTTAGGCACGGTGAGTGCGATTTTATGTTTTAAATCTTGGAGTTATGGTTTATTTTTGATTGTGGAGACAATGGTCTTTATACATGTAGACAGTGATACTTTTACAATTTTGATTATAAACAAATTTATAATAGTTTTCAAAGCCTGTAATTACATACTTGGGAGAACAATTAGTTGTGTAGATTTTGAAGAATGGAAACAAAATTCCAATACAAATTGTTTCCTTGTTTCTTACATTTGTCTCTTCCTAAATAACATAGATGAAGAGACTGAACAATTTTAAAGTTGTAAGTTGGAATAACTGAAATTTCAGATTCTCAAGAGTTACCATTAGGTGATCAAGTGCGTGCTAGAATTTGCTCATTGAGTTAGGTTCGTAGAATGAGAGTGGAAATTGATGCACGCATTGTGTTTTTATGCAATATCCTAAGTATATTCGTTATCCAACTACTTAATTGTATGCGGATGCCACGAGCTTTACATTAGGGTTGACAGCTTATAGATTTAAAAATATTATACGCATATTTAAGTTTATGCGTTAGATATTTAGGAAGATTTGAAATACTTTTTAGGAAACTGTTTTATTATTTATTGTTTATAATTTACGCAATTAGAGATGTAACTGCATTGTAATAAAAAAGAGTCCCGTGTAATTTTTATTTGAGTTTTCGAGCTACCCGACCGTCATAATTAAGTAATGGTTTTCGGGTTTCACCATCCCTAGTGGATGGCATCATCAGGAGATGTTGCGTTACCCAGTAATGACGGCCAACCAAGATAAACCAAAGTCGATTTTCAAAATGTCCGCGTAAGCCTTACACAATTTTTGTTTAGTCTAGTTAAGTTTTTATTGCTTTCACATATCGTAAGGTTAATCTATTAGTCTTTTTAATATGATAATATCTCCAAAGTTTTATCATAAATTTACTTAAGATAAACATATAATCTCTATCTCCATCTATTTCAAATGATGTTATTGTCCTGACTTTTAGAAATACTTTAAAAATACAATCGACATTCAGTAGTTGACAACCCTATTAAAAATATCGATTTACTAACATTAGCATACGCTATAATAGTTTTGTTGACTGTTAACACGTGTGATTGCGTGCCATAGTGTACTTGGCTTATAAAATTCTAATTTATCGCCGGTGAATACGCTGGGATTAACGGAATTATTCGCTTCATACCTTGTTTGCCTGGATTTATGCAAAGCGTTTTATTGCATAATACATATGTACATCTTAGCGTCGTTTATGAGGTCTGAGAACGAGTTACTGCTAGTTAAAACTTATATATGCAAGCTATCGCGATTTAAAAATATAATATGAAAGTAAATAAAACATATCTGTTTTCCACTATCATTTTGTCATAGACAGGTGAATCGTTTAGAAGTACTTTGTTACATTGATGACGAATATTGCTATGTTTATTAGGCTAGAATAATTTAACTGAAGCTGAGATAAAAAAACAAAACAAATTGATTTAGGTTTCTCAAAAAGAAATTAGTTAGTTAACAAATACGCTTATTTAAAAGTACATATACTCCTAATGTATAATCCTAGTGATAATATTTATATTCGAGAAATAATAAATGTCCACTCATTATTACAGAATTAGGAGATGGTGGTTCACGGACGTTATCCACTGCCGAATTATCCGACGGCGAGTCGACACAATGCAAAAGGCGGTGGCACTCGTCCTGCGGCCGTCTACCCTCCTGTCGCCTCACGTGATCTAGCAACTACCCTCACTTTATAATATCGCCGTAGCACGCTGCAGTTTGGATCAGAAACTCTACTTAATAGTTTTTTACATTTTGATTTTACCACCAGATTAAGGACTTGAAAAAATTGATGTTTTAATTACTGCAAAAAAAGTCTATTTTGAGAATGAGTAATCAATTTTGCGTGATTAAATATTGAACGTAATATAGTTTGAGTTTCTGCACAGTCAAAGAAAAATACTGTATCAAACGATCTATTGTTTTTTGTCTAGACCAAGATAGATATTTAATACAGTATCTTACTTACATTTTATTAAAGGACGAGTTGCAATCATAGAACGTACGGCGCCAAAAATATGTCATCTGTATGTTTAATTTAATAACTTACTTAATTTTTGTGTTAGTAGCGATGTAATCAAAAAATCAATGTACGTGTTAATAAACGGTATGCTTTTCATTAACAGTAGGAGGAAAAGCTCTCAGAATTTTTTGAAGAATTTAATTTAAAAAGATGATGTTTGTAATGTCAGCTATAACAATGAAATAATGAAGTTGCATTTCGCTACATCGTCATGTTATATTCTCGAAGAATGTTAACCCACCGATATATAAGCAAAAAATTTTTTTATCATACTTCGTAAACAATACTTGTGCAATGAACATATTGTGTCGTCTCACTCGCTCTTATGTGAATCTCACTGCGTCTAAGCGTGATAGTATGCTTTCACATCTGTGGCATTATTTTTATCAGCTTAGTTCATACTTTAAGCAACCTACAATATTTTTTTTATGTTCTGTAAATCAGACTTTATGCGATTGCCATACACGCTAGTATTCGTAACACCTTTGATATAACTATATAGTATAGAAAACAGACAATAATAAGTTTTATAGAAGTTTTAATCATCCGAAATTTCAAATAATAAAGTTATTATCGTAGTGAAATGTGACTTCCGTATATATTATGTATTTAAATAAAACATAATTATATTTGAATATTTGAAAATAATCTTTTGTTGGTGTAACGTTTTCAAAGATCTCAAATAAATCATCAAGTGAACTAAAAGCGAAATCGTGTTGTGAAAAAGTATCAAAATCGAGCCATCTTACTATAGTTGGAATATATAATTTGGAACTCATCGACAATTCAACTAGATAAAGCCTATTTCATACAAATTAAATTTCAACAGCGTAGTCGAAAGTTTATTATTAAAATAAGTTCCTTCTTAGAGGAAGGGCAAACAAATGGCGGAACAAAATTGGTTTTAGTGATACGCACTGAATGTATGTCCTTGTTATTTGTAGTGGATTGTCGGAAAGAGAATTAACTCGTGGTGATTATTACTTACTTACTTAATGTATCACCCCATCAAAATATTTTCGTTATACATACTAATTTACTATCTTAATCGATTCTTAATAATTATGTTTAATTTCAAAAAAAAAATTGTAAAAAGTACCTTTCATTTTACGATCGAATATTTAAAAAAAAACTGATTTTGTCATATCAGCACGTTTAGAATTCCTTGTCAAATTCCTACGGCAATTGTGTCTATATACTTACAGGGACCTCATTTTTTATGTATATTTTTATATTGCATTTTAGTAAATCTTGCTTAGTATCTAGTAGTTTGTGTAATTCGACGTCAAACACTTGCAATTATCTCCGCCTATAGATGGAAGAGTTTTATCCTATTTTAATGCCATATTGAATATTCGACACATGGAGCACTAATAATTGTCCGGATGTAGTTGTATGGATTTTATATGCGCTACGATTTTTGTGCAATAAATATCGATGGTGTTGTAGTTGTTAGGTTTTAGGTTATTTTATTACGGTCTGATACATCGATTAACCGTTTTGATTCTTCAAATAGGGAGTTGCCGTTGGTGGTTTACTACTGTTAATGTCAAACCTTGAATGACAGTTGACTATCTGTCACGGATCTAAGTGACAAATCAAATACGATTTAAATATGAACTAATATATTTTGTATAAAAATATAGATCATAGTTTAAACGTGAATTAATTTGTTTCTTTGTCACTTGAGCTTAATTCTGTCATGTATCAGTCTGTAATATTATTATAGTTTATTGAGATTATCGCGCAGATCTCCTATCGCCCAAGGCGTATCTAGCAAAACTCGTAGTAATAATTAGGTATGTAGTTCTAAATCGTTTAAAAGATGAGGTCCCGTGTTACCTTGGTACTGCCCGGATGATGCTTATAATTGGTGTATGCGCAGTGCCTGAACTGATTGAGTTCAACAGAATAAAACAGAGAATATTAATATATTGTAAATAAAATGTCAAAGTAACAACATTCAATTGTTTTATTCATTTTTTTCTTATAATAGAGAGGATAGAGACAGACAAGCATAGCATTAATTTGGAAGAAGGTATACCCTAACTAACCATCTAATACGATGTCGATCCATTTTGGCTTTGGATATTCGAAAATTTTAAAAATAACGTTATCTGCCTACAAACAAAGTTTGCTATAATAAAATTTAAAGATTATCTTGAAAATGAGTTGTGGCCTATTTATTAGAACAAAAAAAAAACGTTATTAGTAGTTTTTATTTATATGTACGAGATAAAAGGCAAAATGTATAACTTATTTACAATTTATTTTAACCATACTCAACTCAACGTTTTCGCTGCTGATGCAAAGCATTCGAAAATAAATTGTAAACAAGTTAACTAACTTATGTAAATACTGTCTATAGTTTACGTACACATTTAAATAGAACACTTTAACTCGCGTAAACTACAGACAATACCTAATTAACCATTATTCATTAACAAATCACCGAATGCTACGTCTTGTCTGACAGTTTTCATATCGAGAGCCACCTTCTACAGTCGGTTAAGCCGAACCGCGAATGTTAACCGAGCGTAAATCAAAGCGCCATTAAGCCAGGGTTCACTAGACAGATAATTGCAGTGTTGCAAGCAAGTGTCCCGCGGCTCGACCCGGTTCACAGTGCCACAATGCACGGAAGTGTCAGTGCATTGCCACAAAGTCTCTTCCTCTATATCGGGTTGCAATTAGACCATTATGCCGGGAGAAGTGGTCTCGTAACGCAGGTCAAAGGAAGACGAGACAGTCCGCTAAGATTGGACAGTGGGAGGTTTGTTCTACGTCACGAGAATACGGCCTGTTGGTCAAATTATAGCAATGTAGGGCTAATAACGAACAGTGTCCAATATGACAATAGACAGCTTACGTTCACATCACTACATAGTATAAAACAAACTCGCTTTTTCTGATCTTATGTACGCTTAAATCTTTAAACTTAGCCAAATAACTTTGATGCGGATTTTTTAATAGATAGAGTGATTCTAAAGGATGGTTTTTAACAGAACTTCGGCTAGAGGGAGCAGACTATAAACACGCTGTGCGATCCCCTTCGTGCAGCATTCAGCTAAGTCTGCATCTCGACGTGCCATAAACATTTTAGATTACTAAGTCAGATTAGTATTCTGTTTATTTCTCAATTTTGCAATAAACAAAATTGAAGAACAGTTTCTTTCTTTTTTATATTTCTAAAATAATTTGTTCTTTTTTTTAACAAAGTTTGACCAGATCGTTGGTTTAATGGTAGGTAAAGCTATCCCCACTAGATCCAACACCTTTTTAACCAATTTATATTTCTGAAATATTTTGGACTTCGTCTAAATATATGGATTTAATCGTGTGGTAGGAATTTCAAAATTCCGACCACACGGGTAACACCATCATAGATGAAAAAGCCGTGAAATTTCCATTCCATCCGATTTGTGGACGTCCAAATATCCTAAGCCCAAATAGGTCGCGCATCTTGTTAAGATGTTTTATGGCATTTCTCATCCACCATCAAGTAAACCACGTGCTTGTCTGTCCTCTTCTGTCATAAAAAAATAGTAAATGAGACTTCGTTCGGACAATCTGGATGTTCATGTATCCGATATTTACAGTTCACAGTTGAAAAGGTAAAGTTATCGAGTTTTGGTTTCAGGCTGTAAAATTTGAATGTACAAAGCCCAGATAGATAAACAGTGTACAGCAATTAGAAGTTTTAGGACTGGGGAATTTCACTTTTAATCAAGCAAAGGGGAGTCCCTTTGCTTGATTAAAAGCTGTCCCAATGCTGGTCTGACCAAAAGAAGTTTACCTGGCTGGCTTTGGAATACCAACTATGTAATATGTGAATAAGTATCATTTTTACGTATCAACCGAATTTATGCCTGTACCATGCCGTAAATAACTAAGGGTATAACAGTATAGTACTAAGGGTATAGATAATCACATAATACTACATTATTATATATATATATATATATATATATATATAATATAATATGTAATTATCCAGAGTGAAGGGTTGGAGAAGATGACCTCAAATTAAGAAGTTACATTGTCAGTTTTAAAGTTCAAGGTGATTCCAGATTAACGTAATGAGGTCTAATCGTAATTTGTATTCACAGAGTACATATCATAAGTAATGAAATCTCTTTAATCATATTCATATAATCTATGGTACCTTAGCACAGAGTTATATTAAAATTGTTACGTGTTATAACAGTAATTAAAAACATACGTGGAAGTGTCTTATACGGAGTTGTAGTAGCCTGGAAAGTGAAATTTTTACATCAGATCATCCCCGGTCCCCCCCCGTATACTTAGGGTGGGATATAGGTCTACCGCCAATTTTTCATGATTAAGTCCATGGCTGTCTCGTTACCTCTTTGTACGTTACGGGACAGATAATTTTCCTTGTCTGATCAAGTTATTCAATGATATTTATAGAGGTGCCAAATTAAGTAAGTGTAATTCGAAAAGTGATGATGGACTCTTAAAACACCTTTCAAGAACAACATTTACTAACAAAATAAATAATAAAGGTAACAGGCACCAAATTTTAACAAAGATGAAAAAGGTGTAATAATAGTCTTGGAAGAATAATTTAAAAATCAAAACACACTAAATTGAAATATGTATACCGTATTTAAAACTGGTAACTTAAC